CCCCCCTATAAGATATAGATACGTTCCAATTTATTAGGAATCCGATTTCTTACAAGTCGTTCCAATCACAGCCCGACACGTGTCAAGTTTACGGACTACGGCCGATTGAAAGGTTTTCTTCCATAAAATTAATCGATTCTACACTAATCCGACTCAACATTTCCAAAATACGTATATTTTTTCGTAGTTTTATAGGAATCATAATTATAGGGACCGTAATTATAGGGGGGTCGACTGTATTATATTTCTATTTATAGTAGGTAGATAGATAGTATCTTGTAATTCCAGAGTGATTTTTAACCTGGCTTTCATGATACTACAAGATGTTGCAATATCTATGAATGTTACAAATATCTTTGATATTTATCAATTTATGTAAATTTTAAATGAAGTATTGGTATTGGGTGTGTTACACATACATCAAAGTAAACCAGTTAGGATGCTGGCTTCAAAAACATTAAAAACCACTTCTCTAGAATAATACCCCATTTGCACTGAGCATTTCAATCTAGATTGTGACCAAGGTCGGCAACTATGCCTTGGTGTGACCTCTCTTGATCGTTTCAATCTCAACTGAAACAAAGTTCAATCGTGATCAACTCAAAAGAGTTCTTGAAACTAGATCCAGTCATAGAAGAGATCCCAAAATCCCACATACATGAGAAAATATAAGATGGCTGAGGAACACGTCAGGCTATTGACAAAGAAATTAAAAACATACTGTATTTGGAGAGATGATGACATCTGTCTATTATTAGATATACAGCAAGAAAAAGTACAGGTAGCCCTCAGTTTACGCCAATTCACAATAACGCCGCTATGCAATTTTCCGTGTAATTCCCCGATTTTCCCTATGCCAGACTGATTTTCATTTCAGTGTTGACGTATTTACCGAGCCGTGACATTGTACATTCATTAAAACAAAGATTTTTATTGAATATATTTATTTTTTCTGTTTAATATTATTGGGTATGTATACATTTGCATTAAATTAATATTAAAACACTAAATGTTTAGGTACCCACGAGTCAAATTACCAAACTTAATAGTCCAATAAATGGATACCGAATCCATAGCGCCAATGAATGTATCCCAATTCAGTTCATTTAGGAAAACATCTTATGACGTAGTAGCACTTCCGTCGATCACAAACTATCATTAGTGAGACAAATCTACTTCTCATTGGCCAGACGATACTTTTTTATTAGCCAGATGATATCTATCTCTCCTTAGCCACCTTGAATTTTCCCATTCAAACTGACCTTATACATGCGCTATGGCGACCGGTGGTCGACCAATCAATGTCTCCACTCATCCGTAGCTCTACGTCGGGTTAACATATCCTTTCAACTATGGAAAGTTTGACAGATGAACTTTGCGAGTTAGACAATGATTGGGAGCGAAGTACAAATGTAAAAAGAAGCATCATTGCATCCATTTGACCATATTCTGAAATTCTCAATAAAAGAAAACAAAAAATGTAAACAATTAAAGATAGATACTTTTTTTCCGAAAAACATAAGAGATCCAAAACTAAAATTTTTTAATAAAAATATTTCACTTATTTTATGATAAAATACATTTTAAAAATTAAAAATTTATATGTATTTTGTATTATATTGTATTAATAAACAAAATTATTTGCTTATTTTTCACTTATGTAGAACCTAACTCTATACCTCACTGTAAATATGGGTTTGTTTTACGCCGATTCGATTTGCTCCTGCTTTTGTAGGAACGGAACTGCGGCGTAAACCGAGGGCTACCTGTACTGTATTTATTTCTAACCAAAACTTCCATTTTGTTTGTTTGTTTGTGTTTGTGACTTACTGCGTAGTTATGTCAGTTTTATCATCATGTGTAATAGCCAGGTTCTTCTCAAGCAGACTGCCTGTGCGAACAACATGACATTTGACTGGTGACAGTCACAATCCAGATTGTAGGTAAATCAAGATCAAAGTAAGTCGGGGATTGTGTGAGACCATAGTGTAACATTACTCAAGAATTATATAGTTTGAAGATTTAAAATATACTTCTTAAAAAAATGCTTATTAATAATAAGCATTTTAAAATTAAATTTAAAATATTTTAAATTAAAATTATTATTAAAATTAAAAATAATTTAATTAAAGCTCACCAATTCCCAATCTATGCTCTTATAAAATGGATGAGAAGTAATATCAGCAAAACCAGTTTGTGGATGACAACCTAATCTTTCAACTGGATTCTGAAAAGTTAGTTAATAAATAATATTAGCACTCAGCAATTATATTGAAACAGTTGATTTTAAATAAAGTATGTAGAAATATATTCACAATATCTATGAAATAATTTTGTCAGTTTAAGAATTTTGATATTCATAATAAAATTTAAAAAAAGATATCAAATTAACATTTTATTTATTTTTTAATACAATGAAAAATATTTTAGAGGAAAAGAGGAAAATTAATTTTGGGATAAAATTATAAAATAGCTTGCTTAAAATAAATGCTTTGTTAACACATTTTTTCAAATAGATATTTTCAAGGAACAACATATAATTTTTTTTCTTTCATGTAAAAATTCTTTATAGAAATTTCTTTTCTAAGTATATTTTCATATATGTTTGTATAAAAATATCACATGCATATCTTAATATAATTCAAAAATAGTTCAAATTACAAAATTTTGAATATGTACTGTGAGAATACGGGTGAGGGGATTGAGCCCTCTAATCGCTGAGTTGGTAAAACTCGCCCACTTTGTCTTTGGGATGGCTTTTTTTCGAGTGGCGAGGGGTTCGGAAAGTCGACAGATGTCCATGTCTTGAAGTGACAGAAGACAGGTTTTTAACAGATAACAACAAGAATTTATTATATTACTAAACCTATGATACATATAACTAAGCCTAAGTTAGATGCAGTTAAATCTGGTTACATATACACTCCTATGGAGGGGATTGACAAAAGTTTCTAATCAGCTCACATGCTGACCTAATGACCTAGCTCAGTCACTACTTCTGCTGAGAGAGAGTTTACTATATCTATAGATATCTCAATATTCGTTGGTCAAATTAGATGACATTTGTTCGATTGGAGAGAGAGAGAGGAATTTGAAGAGGACTGGCAATTGTATGGCAGGTCTTCTTATTGTTGACTTGCATTGGCCAGGACAGTCTGTTTGTGGAGGTCCGCNTAGAAAAGTACAATGAAAAATATTTTAGAGGAAAAGAGGAAAATTAATTTTGGGATAAAATTATAAAATAGCTTGCTTAAAATAAATGCTTTGTTAACACATTTTTTCAAATAGATATTTTCAAGGAACAACATATAATTTTTTTTCTTTCATGTAAAAATTCTTTATAGAAATTTCTTTTCTAAGTATATTTTCATATATGTTTGTATAAAAATATCACATGCATATCTTAATATAATTCAAAAATAGTTCAAATTACAAAATTTTGAATATGTACTGTGAGAATACGGGTGAGGGGATTGAGCCCTCTAATCGCTGAGTTGGTAAAACTCGCCCACTTTGTCTTTGGGATGGCTTTTTTTCGAGTGGCGAGGGGTTCGGAAAGTCGACAGATGTCCATGTCTTGAAGTGACAGAAGACAGGTTTTTAACAGATAACAACAAGAATTTATTATATTACTAAACCTATGATACATATAACTAAGCCTAAGTTAGATGCAGTTAAATCTGGTTACATATACACTCCTATGGAGGGGATTGACAAAAGTTTCTAATCAGCTCACATGCTGACCTAATGACCTAGCTCAGTCACTACTTCTGCTGAGAGAGAGTTTACTATATCTATAGATATCTCAATATTCGTTGGTCAAATTAGATGACATTTGTTCGATTGGAGAGAGAGAGAGGAATTTGAAGAGGACTGGCAATTGTATGGCAGGTCTTCTTATTGTTGACTTGCATTGGCCAGGACAGTCTGTTTGTGGAGGTCCGCTACACTTGGCACCTAGTTGTCGATTACTCTGGACACTAATTAATCTATTCACCTTCCTTTGGACTTCATATGGGATGACTGCATGGGACTTCGGTGTCTCCATTCTTGATGCCTGGGAAAATGATCCTGTGATTGACTATTGACATGTTGAAAGTTCATTTCCAGGTGCAGGCATAGGTTTCTTCTGATGACGTGTAATAGCAGCTGTCCCTCTTTCACAATCGAATGTTTTCCTTTTGTCATCTTGTTGTCAAAATTCCTCTCTGTTTGTTTAAAGAGAATGTCATCTGATCTTTTCTAGAGCAATGTTTTTTTTTTTTATAACAATCATGTTAAGAAATTAAATTACAAAGTCGTAATTTTGCGCAAAATTCGCTCATTCCTCCACTCAGGCCCATAGATAGGCCTGCAGGCTCATAATACCACATTTACTTAAATCTAAGATGCATCTTAATTTTTAAATACTCAACCATAAATTTTTTTAAATAGCTAACTTGAGACAAATTTATGTCAACAGAAATGTTAAGTATTAATTGCAAGAAAAGTAAGTTATGTATCAGTCTTCTGTGACATCGAAATTGTAAACCTCTTCATTTCCATATTAGGCTGTGAAGAAAGACTTAAGGTCACATATGGTACTGATGCACAACCCTGCAGCACAAATACAAAATGGGTGAATATCTTTTGCCAAGGTCAAGAAAATGCAGAAAACATCATTGGATTGAACAACCCAACAGCTAAGAGAAAAAGATCATGCAGCCCTTACTCCATGTTGGCAGACAATGAATAATACACATCTTGATAAAGTTGAAACCAGTGATTTCATCATGGATTGCATTCTGCACAATGTTCTTTGCATGCAAAAACTCGGAGCAAGATAGGCCCTACATCAGCTAGATACTACATTTGCACATTTACAAGTACAAATGTGGCATCTAGTAAATCTTTATCTGGATCAGTATCAAAATGAAAATGATGCATTTCTTTGTTGAATCAGTACCATAGATGAAATATGAACACAGATTTACAAGCCAAAACTGAAGCACCAATCAAGTGAATGAAAATATCCAGTACAGTAGAACCTCGATTATCCGGACTAATTGGGGATGAAGGTAGTCCGGATAAGGAAAAATCCGGATAATGGAAGCATATACTTTAATTTGTCTTTTAATGATAATACAACACGTTTTCTTTTCGATGACATATCGGTAATATTAAAAGTAAATACTGTATTTAAATAGTGATCAAATTTTCAAGAAACAAACGTTCGTATCGAATTTGGACTACTACTGACCAACGCTACCAGACTACCTATTGTTTAAAAGGCCTTCTGGTGGCGCAAGAAGACGGATTTTATAAAATAAAAAGCAGTTGAACTGCATTTTTATGAATAAAAATTTGACAAACTATTTATCGTTTTATGACGAGTAAAACTTTTTCGTCGCGTTCACGGCTTTTAAGTAATGCATAAACCTTCCAGGCGCGAGGCCCTTCGGACCGCGAGGCATAGGCGGTGGCCCACGTCGTCCATGCCTTACGCCGCCCTTGGTTATAGAAATGATGTAATTTGAATATAAATTATTTATAAATACGTATGTCAAGTTATATTTTTATTACTACGTAAAATATATTTAAGAGTTTACGACCACTGTGCTGGGTGAGACGTTGTTGAAACAAAAAAAGTTATGCATTCCATCACGTACATAAACATAAACAGTATTTCGTAAAACAGTGTCGTAATTCGCCAAGTGCAAATCAGCAAATTCGTAAAATTTTTGTTTATTTTGAACAATCCGGATAATCAAAAATCTGGATAATAGAGGTCCGGATAATGGAGGTTCTACTGTATCTCCTTAACCAAAAAAAAATTGTGAAAGAAACTCAGTGGAATAAAATTGTATGATAAAAGATTACACTATTTGTGTAATATTTTCATATACATCTTCAGAGACAAACTGTAAATGTTGAGTAATACCAATAGTTTTTCAAGAATCATCTGTCTAGCAAAAAGTAAAAGGTAGCCACTAGGGTTTCTCATTTCCCGGTCTTTTGCTTGTCCCGGGATCCAGGGAAACAGTTCACTTTTATCCCGGGATCCCGGGATAGAATTAATTATTTTTAAGGTATACAAAATATCTTTAAATCAAATGATATAATTATTTTCCATTTTTTAAAGTAATTTTAAAGTTCTGTAACCTCAAAAATTATATTAATAATGCTGTGTAAGGTCTATAGGCCTATAATAAAAATTACCTTTAAATAACGTAGAAATTTTCACAAATAGAAAAAAATTAATTAAATTTTGCTGGAAACTGCATACAACAACGACAAAAAAAAAAATGTTTTGAATTGAGTTAAAAATTAAAAAAATGAACTTCTAATTTAGAAAGTAATTTTCGTTTTTTAAATAAAATATAATACAAAATATTGCAAACTTTTATAAGATTTTAAAAAGCAAAGATGGTCAATACTCCGATAACTCACTCTAATTCTTATTTTAGTAATGAAAAGTCTTACCACCGAGAATGCCCTTTCCGATTCAATTGATGTGATTGGAATAGTGTTTAATGCATTTAAGAGAAGACAGATATTATGTGTTTTTTCACCTGTAGCCTGGAAGATTTCGAGTTCGTTTTCGAGATTGTAGTACTTCTTTCGCTCTCTAGTATTCTTGATTTGTCTACCTTGGCTGCTTTAATAGCGGCATCAAGCTTAGAGCTCGATAATTCGGCAATTCATTTGGCTTTAATAATCAGGTTTATGAAGAAAAACTTCATACTTGCAGACTTTGTACTCGTTTGTATCCTTGCCCAATTTGCACAATCTGGCGTCAGGCATTTATTGAAGCTACTGGGCATGGGTAAAACTCAAGACAGCGTAAGCACAATTATTCCAGATATTACAGGTTCCCACAAGTAAATAATTTTTATAGTCCTGCCACAAATAAGCTATATATTGATTATTGACCATTTGTGACATGCTATAACGAGCAAAAATTTAAAAAAAAACTAATAGGTAGGTTTAAAATTAATAAATACAAATGTATTCTAACAGTGAATGAGTTAATTATGCTTTCTATTTGCAAAATTCCTCAACCTTAACACAAAATAAAAAAAAAGTAAATTTTTAAGAAATTTGCGGGATTTCCCGGGATAAGAAAAATTTCCCGGGATATTTTCCAGGTTAAAAAAACAACTGGGATCCTGGGATCCCAGAATCCCGTTTGAGAAACCCTAGTAGCCACATTTCATTGAATTAATTACAGTACTACTTTTCATTCAAGATAATGCTCAATGTCACATAGCCAAAATGAAAAAAGAACTTTTGGCAAGATAGTATTGGAAAATTCTGAAACATCCACCTTTCTCCCCAGATAAGACTCCTTGTGACTATGACTTGTTTCCTACAATCAAGGAATCATAATAAAAAAAATTATCTCCTAATGTGGCTAACATATTCAATGCTGTAAAGTGGTCCATTGCAGTTTCAATGAAAAAGGATCTCCAGACAACATCTACTATGTCCCACAGATTTTACATAAGGTGATTCATCTTGCTGGTGATAATATTAAGATATAAGAATGTTAATTTCATGTTTAAATAAAGCATTATGTTCATAACATAAATGTTGCCATTATTTTTCACTTAGCCCCACACTAAAAGCCAAATTGCAGAATTATTGAACATTATTTTTAAATTAAATTAATATTTTAAATCATTTTCAGGCTATTAATGTAAAGAAATCTAAAAATAATTAACTTTTAATACTTTAGTTTTTATCAAAATACTTTATGTAATTTGTTAATCAATATTAATTTTATCAAAATATTTTCTTACTTTATTTAAAAATCCTTTTAAAACAGATTGTGCCTTAACGGATATGGATCGAGGAATTCTTATAGTCTTTTCCAAGATTACTAAATAAAAGTTTTAAATAAAAGTTAGTTTATCCATTAACACCTCCACAAAAATTTATTCATTTAATTTAAATAAAAATAATATATCAAAAATGTTAATCTCGTTATGAATACATATAAATTTATATTTTTTTGCAAATTAAAATTTAATCTAAACATTTATTTTTACCTTGAAACAGAAAATCTTCTGTATTTTGATCAGGATTTTCAGCTGCACCAACAATGTCAAATGGAGATCGACCTGCTAACATTTCATATAAAAGAACTCCCAATGCCCACCAATCTACACTAAAGCCTGAAATTGAATTAAAGTATTATATGTTAAAATTTATATTATTAACAAAAAGACACCATGTATTAATGTATTCTGCATATCAATACATGTTCAAAGTTAATATAATTATTTTAATTATTATTAATTAAAATAATTATATTTTAATTATGTTTAATTTTTATCAGATGATATATACAAGAAAAAAAAATGTTATCTGGAAAATTATGTCTGTCACATTACTAATTGAAAAAATAAGAATAGAAATAAAAATAATAATTAAAGAAAACAATCCATAAATAAATCATAAAATAAAATTACTTTAGTTTTCCTTTTTCAATGCATTTTATGTTATATTTTCTTCTTTGCATCTTGAACTGAATTTTGCTAAATATACTGTCAATAAATCAATCAAACAATTGATTATATGAGGGACATCCAGAAAATAAAGAACATTTGCATATAGCATTCTACATGGGAAAAATTACTACCATTGATTTAAGGTCAATTTGTTCTCTGATGTATTAGCTTTACACTTGTAGAGTTTTGACAATGGACGGCAGTCTTACTGTTATTGTTTTGTCAAGGGTTAAAATTTGTACAAAAATAAAAAATCCTGCCAAATGCAAAGTGTTATTCTTTTTCTAAACATGAAGAAAGCTCATTCTATAGAAATTCATGAACAAAACATGAAAAAAACAAAATGGAAACATATGGTGATCACATTATGAATGAAGCAAGTGAAAAAATAGTGTTTAATGTTTAATCAAGAAAGATAACATGCAACATTTTCGAACAGCCACTATACAACCTAGACTCCAGTGACTTTCACCTCTTTCCCAAGCTGAAAGAGTTTTTGGTGGATGAGAGGTGAAAGAAACTGTCACTAACTGGCTAGAAGAACAGCAGAAGTCTATGACAAGGCAACCCAAAAACTAGTATCATACTACAAGTGCTTTAATCATAATGGTGACTATACAGGGTGTATTTTTTATCTTGAGACAATGAAATAACTTAATTGGATCTCATTATTTTGGAAAAAGGTATACACAAAAGTTATAGGGTGTTGAGGGGCCAATCAATTGGTGACCTCAGATGTGACCTTGACCTTCAAGGTCATTTGTAGGTCAATTCTGTTTTTTTCAATGGGAACACATATTTTTGACCCCAGAAATGGAAAGAGCAGGAAATTTCACAACCGGGTGTACCTTTGACCTTATTGTCTAGGTCAAAGGCCAAGATTATTTTAAGGTTAAAATTATAAGCTTTTTCTAATGGGAAACCATACTTTTTATTACTGGAATAGGCAGGGAGGTAAAAGTTACATTTTTTCATGACCTTATTACTTTGATCTTTAAACTGCTTTTAGCACTACCGAGGAGTAACAATGTGGATGTAGTAGTTCTCTACTTTCTTTGAGGTGATTATTTTCAGTGAGTCTCCTTGCCTCTCACTATTGTGGTGCTTGTTTTTGGTGAATCAATTTACTTCTTACCATTGTTTGAGATGTTGGTTTGGGGGGGAAATTTTATAACAAATATTCAAAATGATGCCCTTTCACTTTAATGCATTTATTGAGCCATACTTACGTCACGCTTGAGATGACCTTCAGAGGTCAAATTTTGGGTACTCAAGGTCATGGCTAATTGTGAAATCTCGCATAGTTTCCATGTAAATGTAACCTTTACCTCCCTGCCTTCATTAATAAAAAGTATGGTTTTCCATTAGAAAAAGCTTATCATTTTAACCTTAAAATAATCTTGACCTTTGACCTAGACAATAAGGTCAAAGGTACACCCGGTTGTGAAATTTCCTGCTCTTTCCATTTCCGGGGTCAAAAATATATGTCCCCATTGAAAAAACAGACTTGACCTCTGAATGACCTTGAAGGTCAAGATCGCATCAGGTCACCAATTGATTGGCCCCTCAACACCCTACAACTTTTGTCTATACCTTTTTCCAAAATAATGATATCTAATTAAGTTATTTCATTATCTCAAGATAAAAAATACATTCTGTATAGAAAACAGACTGGTCTTGTACTAATTACTTAATAAATTTTTTTTCCTATCATTACTGTTTTTTTTTTTTTTGTTTTTATAGCCAAATATTCTTTATTTTCTAGATGCCTCTTGTATATACAAGATGAAATAGCAACATTTCTTAAAGATTATTTTTAACACTGCTTCGAAATCTGTTTTATTAATTTTAATTCACAACTTTATTTTTGAACTTTACTGGTCTCCAAAATTGGGATGCATATTAGAATGAAGCACAAAGTTTACTTAATGTAGTCTCATTCATGTCCATTTGACAGATTTGCATGTATTATGTCATCAGTATACATGTAAATGTGATACACAGCCTTCTCATTACTTTGATTTTGGTCTTGGAACAGTTTTGGTTTTTTCAACTGCAGCAAGTCAAATAAATTATTTCTAAGACAGGTCTCACAGCAACCTAAATTAAAGTAGTTAAGTTTAAGAAGAGAGTTATCTACTTTGATGAACAACATGTGACTAGAAATATTAGACAAAAATATCTGATTGTGGTGGCAACATAAATAGGATATTTTTACATGCAAGATGCTACAAAACAGATTTAGTAGACTTGAAAAGAAAGACATTCAGATAGATGTTAATGAACAAGTTTTAGAGTTTGTGAAAGAGAGGAAAAAGAACGACTTATAATCTAACAAGAAGGGAAGGAATGAAGTTGCACGTGTTCTTAAACACACCGTGACAAACCTTTAAAGCTTGTCAAAATTGAGTAGTTCACTTTATGACGCACAGAGACTTGTCTCTATGTGTATATAATTGTCTGCCAGAAACTGCTGAAAGATCAAGAACAAGCTACTAAGTTTCCAGCAGAACATAATCACACTTATAAAAACAGGTGGCTTCATATTAGGCCAGATTGGCAATGCAGATGAAAGCCCTATTTGATTACATATGCACAACCTATAATTACACACCTGAAAAAAAGAGCAGAAAAATTCCAATTAAAGCATCAGGCAATGAAAAAAAGTGACAGTCATGCTAGCAATCAAAATGGATGATCAAAAACTTCCGCCTTTCTTGATCTTCAAAAGAAAAACATACCCTAAGAAGCTGCTCATGAACATCTTTTCACTTCTGTCATCACTGTACAAGCCCAATCTGAAGAATGAATGATGTAAGAATAAATCTCAACTACCTGCAAAATGTTTGGGTTCATCATCCAGTACACTCGTAAACCCACTATTGATTCTTTGCTTGGACACATTCAAAAACACTCAACGAATCAAATGAAAAATATGATCCACAAGCTGAAAGCCAAACTTCTTTCCATTCTCCAGTCTTTGAATGTTAATGTGAACAGGCCATTCAAGAATACAGTCCAGGAATAATACATTTGCTGACAAAACTGAAAGTTAAATTAATGGTAACTACAAAGATCAAATGTGCAGATTCCCATATTATCACACATTGGATTTCTGTGGATTGAATAACCATTTTAGGTCTATTCATCACAAAGTCATTCAAACAGTGTAACATTTCTAACACACTAGACAATATAAAGGATGACAGGTTGTGGGGAGAACAATAACAAAGAACATAATGTGGCTGATTCCAAAAGTAGCAACTCTGATGTTGCTGGAGATTTGACATCAGAATTGTCAAAACTGTCACACTAATCCATAAAAAATGTTATTCATACAATAATCAATTGAAAAGATGATGAAAATAGATTGAAGTTTTTCTATGTAAAATAAAACTATTATAAGTCTTAAGTCTTAAACAAATTAAATCTGATTAATTAGTATTTACAGATTTTATATTCACAACATTTATTAATCCTAAAAAAACATTCATGATTTTATTCATTTCGTGTAACTTCTTGCAAGCTCAGAAAAATATGTTTTATTATTTTATTATTATGTCATAGTATTTCATATAACATGTTTGTATTAACCAATTTACTGTCTTTGCTTTTATTATATAAGATATTTAAAATTGTAGTCAAAATACACACCATAATCTTCACCTCGAAGAATCTCTGGTGCAATATAATTTGGTGTTCCACAAAATGTACTAGTAGTATCACCTGGCCTGATACCTTCCTAAGAAAGAAGTTTTATAAGAAATTTAAAAATTTGATCATTTTATACAAAAAAAAAAAAAAAAAAACCCAAAGACAGATTTATCAGTATTTACCTTACACATTCCATAATCCGTCAGTTTTATATGACCTTCGTGATCCAATAATACATTATCCAATTTTAAATCCCGATAAATAATACCTAAAAAATTTTTATAATAAATATTTCTGATTTTATATGCTATATTTTTATTTATTTATTAAAGAATTTTATATGAATCATTTATATAAAAATATTGATCTCATAAAACTATATACTGTATAAGATAAAATAATTACTTAAAATTTATACATCAAATATATATAGTATTATTAAATTCATATAGGTTCCCACTTTTTTAGAACAATGTGGTTAATTCAGCACAATTAAATGAATTTGTTATTAATGCATCATAATATTAAGTCCTTCCAGCCAATTTAGTGTAACCGACAATTTCACCGAAATTAAGTTTTTTGTCTCAAACAAGTTATGTACTTCAAGTCATGTCACAAATTCTTGTAACACTGTGATGGGACTTTAAAAAATTAGGAAGAGAATTTTATTGTAAGTTTTGTTTACATTTACTCCAAATTGTATGAGACACAAAAAAACTAGGTAAATTTATCAGAATTTCTCATGAACATCACTTATAAAAAATCATCATGCATGAAATTAAAACAGAAAATCCTAATCATGGGACTTCTGTTTCAGAACCAGTGTTTTCAATTTTCAATCATCAGCAATTCAATGCAAATTAATCTCAACCACTACAGGCAAAACCAATGAAGATTATTTACAGCCAAGTATGTCCTAGAGATTAACTGATTCTTTTCCATATCATAAGATGCCTTTCTTTGTAGTTCCAGTTATGTAGATTCTGAAGTTTCTTGTCATCTACAGTCTATGTACAGACTCAGTCAATTTAACACAAGTTAAAATGCAAAGCATGCGCCACTAAAGTCTTTCTGTGCCTGTAGTAATGATGGTGCCCGTATTAACAAGTAAGTAAGTAGCAAGTAAGTAACCACCAAAACATGTCTTTACACTTTAAAAATATAAGGTAAAATATCCTAAAAACGTATTACATACAACAAATTTACTTCATAGCTAATGTGTAAGAGAAAATAATTAAAAAATTCTTCTCCAGTAAAATTGACTTTTTGTCGGTTATGATAAATTGATGGAAGGGCTCAATATGTTAACATATTTGAAAAATTTATTCAATTTATTAGTAAATTTCAAGAGTAGGCAGCTTATTAATTATTACTAAATCTGTTAACCTATTATAAAAATAGTATCATTTTATATAGTAAATATTCAATATTAAAAATATTATACCTTTGAAATACAAAATTGAATAACTGGAACACACAATTTTAATAAACCAAATATTTCAGCTAATAAATAATTAAGTTTTAATTGAATATTGGATAGTTAAATCATTATCCATTAATGTTTAATATTTAGTTGTCAAAATAATACAGTTGAAATATAGCATCTTTTCTTTAGTTTTTCATTAAGATTTAAAAGAGATGTGTTTACTAACTGAACTGAATAGATCACTTTCTTCCAAATTTTTAGAAAAAGTGATTTTTTTAATGAATAAAATATTTACTTACTTTACAGAGAAAAAGCAGAACAAAATTACACGATCCTTAAGTTTACAACTTCCAAACAATATAAACATGCAATAAATGCTGATCATTTCTCATCCTGCTAAGTCTTTTTGTGTAATGAATAAATTTAACTAACATAAAAGATTTCTTTGTAGAAAAGGGCTAACAGAATTACAATTTAATAAAAAGTAAAATACATCTGGATACGAGTCCAATTTTGCTTGCCATGTCCAATCACCAGGAACAACTATTGCAGAGGCATAGACTCTAAAGAAAGGTTGTCTCTGCAATGGAAATAGTTGTTCCTGGTGATTGGACATGGAAAGCAAAATTGGACTCATATCCAGATGTATTTTACTTTTTATTAAATAACATAAAAGAGTCAAAATTTATTGGACTAAAGTTGTTCAATTTTTACCTTGTTAAATTTCATCTTAAAATAAATATATCTTTTTGNAATTCCCTGACTTTCCCTGACTTTTTCAAAAAATAATGAAAAATCCCTGACTTTCCCTGACTTTCCAGGTGCGTAGGAACCCTGTATATATATATATATATATATATTTATTTATTTATATACAAAGAGGGGGACCAAAAAAAAACCGAACTGAGAGCACACTGCCATTTGTAGAGTTCTCCTGTTACATGGGGTTAGAGACCTTCATGAAACACCTGTGCAAACAGTGTCAGTTTGTAGGTTTACGTTTAAGCGTAGTGTTGTGTTTCTCTTACTGTTATTTTGTTCTGCCTATGAAGTTCTGGGCATCGTTCAACATCTCGAAACGATGAAAACGTTGAAAAAATCCGCCAAAAAAGTGTTAAGACGTCTGCGAGAGGTTGTGCGAAGGAAACTCCCAGAACTTTGGTGATCAGGTGACTGGTTCCTTCATCATGACAACGCCCCCACACACATGGCATTATGAGTGACTCACTATTTGGCCTCTTGGGGATGGCCTGCTGTTCCCCAACCTTTGTATTCACCAGACCTAGCCCTGTGCGACTTTTTTCAGTTTTTGAGAATGAAGAAAAATCTAAAAGGGAAGCATCTTGATGATGTGGAGGCGATAAAAACAGCTTTGCTAAGGGCACTGGACGATATCAAGGTTGAAGAGTTCCAGAGATGCTTCAAACAGTGGGGAAAAAGACTTGACAATTGCATCACATCTAATGGAGAGTACTTTGAAGGTGATTGAAGGAATTTTGTAAAAAAGTTAATAAATAAAGTTCTTATACAAAAAATCTGGTTATTTTTGGGTCCCCCACGTATACATATACAGTAGAACCCCTCTAATCCGTCACCTTTGGGACTGGGGGTATGGTCGGAACGCAGAAAAGGTCGGATTATCAGAAAAAAGTAAAATAAACAATCTTCCCCTTTGTCCAGTCTTTGTAGCACTGCTAATTTTTCATTTATGAAAGAGTAACACGTTTACGTTTCACTCCTGACATGTTAAAAACACACACAAAACTGTACATGTACACACAATGTAAAACATATACTGTAAACGAACACAGAAAAATGCCACGGACGGAGAGTCACCGATGAGTCGGGACAAGTTTCTCGACTCCGACCACGGTCGGATTAACCGGAGTGACGGACTAGAGGGGTTCTACTGTAAAAGAATTAACAAAATACTTATTTAAGATTAAGTTACAATTATCTTATGTAAAGTGAAATGATCAATGTTAACAACTATAGAATGATTAATAATTGTTAACAATTTATAAACAACATTTAGTAATTATTACAAATAAGTATTAGTTCAAAAAAATACCTCTCTCATGTAAAAAATTTAATGCAAGAGATATTTCGGCTGCATAAAATCTAGCATGTTCTTCTGGTAAACGTCGCTTTCTTTGCATGTGGAACATTAAGTCTCCTCCACGAACAAATTCAATCACAAAAAATAATCTGAAATTATTACAAAAATTATTGCACAACTAGATGTATAATGAAAAATATCAACTGCTTAAAATAAAATTCAAATAATTCTTTATCAAATAAAATTTAAATGAAAATACATAAAAAATAAAAACCAATCAATTGAACTGAAAAATATATGAATAGTTAACTAACAAATAGTTGATTAATCAAAGTTAAAAATTGTTAATATTAAATATAAGCAATTCTCTTATTTTATATTAAATCTTGGTGTTAAATTTAATTACTATTAATTCATGTAGACCAGATTGTTCCAATACAGTGGTACCTCAGGATACAAAATTAATTCGTTCCGATACTGAGATCATATCATGAAAATGTTGTAAAATGAATCATTTTTCCCCATATGATTACATGTAAAACCAAATAATTCATTCCAACACGAAAAACACATTCAAATTAAAGCTAAGTAGTACATTAAAAAAAATAATAACTATAGTAAGGAAAACACTGAAAAATGCATTTTGTAGTTGTAAATGTATAAATAATCATAATAGAATAATAATTGATAAAAAAAAATGTAGTTTCATTTGCACTTTACCTTTGAGGATAGATGACGGTGGAGGTGNTTCAGGTCTTCCAGTCTTGTCCAAGAGGAGGAGGTTCGGATTCTCGGCGGGAGGAAGACGATCGGAGCGCACACACAGATACCAATAATAACTTCCACCCCCTTACTCATCATGCCTGGCCCTTTTATATCAAGTCCTCATTTTCGAACTTTTCTCCGATTTCGTCAGCGATGACGATCTTCTTGGTCCAATGAGGGGACGGGTGACACAATCGTGACACAGAAATGTACTCATCTCAACACGGAACCTAACTCGTGGGAATCAAGGTTTTTATTGATTTTATTTTTCCTTTTTCTCTTTTAATTTTCTGTTTTCTCGTTCCGTCTTTATAAAGTTTATTTAAAAAAAATTATAGTTTAAAACACTAAATTTCTGGTCCTCACACTTTCCTTCACTTCTACCAGCACTTTCACTGGATAGAGGTCGCTTGGTAAAATATCTATTCAAAGAGGTTTGGCTTTGCCTACTTTTTAAAATGTTTCTAAAATGACTTAGGCAAATGTCATTATTCCGAGCAGCAATACAGCCAGTGTGAACCTTTTTGGGATGTTTCTTTTCAATAAAATCAGTCACTTTCTGATAATACCTCAAGATTTCCTTTATTGAGCGAGATCCTTCTATGACGAAGCAAACACGCGGACTGAGACCAACGAACAGAAGTGAATAAAAAATGGCGCTGCAAACTAATGTAACATCATATGGTGAGTTTTTGTTTGTATCGTGGAGCAAAAATATATTCGAATTTCATGTAGTATCCTGAAAATTTCGTATGCTAGGGTACCACTGTATTTTGTGATGTGTTGATCCCTTTCAAGGAAAATTTTTGTTCTATATAAAATTTTTGATAAAAAATATTAAAAACTTTATATATTTAAAAAACTTATTAAAAATAATAATTTTTTTAATGTATATACAAAGTTCTATCGATCCCCTCTCAAACTTTCATTAACTCATAAGGGATCAAAACTGATCCCATTGGGAAGCCCAGATATAGACTATAACGCTATTCTAATTAGATTAATGATTATATTCCTTATAACATTGTACCACTTCAATATAATTAATAGTATATCATCAATTTTTAGATCTTTATATTATCAGAGGGTTTTTTGCTATCAGTTATCTTTTCACAAAGAACAACTTTTGATATTGAAGAAAAATTTACCTACTATCTATGCTAATACAGTAGAGCATCGATTATCCGACCCCCGATTAACCATCACATCGGTTAACCGACCGTTCTAGTCGGCAAATTCAAATGTCCGCTAGCGATGTGGCGCTACAATATTTGGCTATGTCTTGGCTACTTTAATAGTATTTTTACGTGTTTTAGCTGGCAACATGGCTCGACCATGAAAGGGAGCCAGTATTTAAACGAGGCTTAATTTTCTAATTTTTAACGATACAATAGCGACGATTATTATTTTAAAAAAATTTCTGTTAGGCTTAACATCGATGAAAATTCAATGCAAAGTAGGGATGAAGGTGTTAATTAATAGCGATATACTAATATACTAATTACATGAGATATACTAATATACTATACTAATAATGTATTTTTTCATATTTTTTGGTTATCCAACCAACCCCAATTGAGTCGGATAATCGATGTTCTACTGTAATGATAAATACAAACAGAATAAAACACAAGGTTAACTTAGAAGAATGCATCTGTTTACCCTGCTCAAAATGTTACATGAAATATATATTTAACAATCATTGTTATTTTTTCTTTTCATTATTGCTTTTGTCCTTAGTTTTCTAAATCAATATCTTTTATAAAATAGTTTATTTCTCAAACAAAAAAATTTTTGAATGGCAAGTACAAATACAAATGTAATTAAGTTTTTAGTTAGGGATATCAAAGATTTTAAAATATCCTTTTTTTATAACATTATGTTTTGCTACAGATACAATTTATAAACATATATCTAACCATAAATTTCCACAGTTCTAAAACTGCATGATTTTGACTTAACAAGATAGAAAAAATACATCATCATTTCATTTTACATTATGTTTTATAATAGTCTTCAGTACTTTACTTTAAAAACACATTTACTCCTATGCTAATTATTATTATATGTTGTAGTTACACAGTATGCATTAAATATAGCTCAATATTGGAAAATTTATAAATAATTAAACAGAAAAATACAAGCTTTGGTAGTGGATTTTTAAGAAATAAGATCATTGCCTACAGTAAACCAAACAGAAAAAAACTAAGACTGAAAAAGTTAATACAGTAATACCTCGACTTATGCGAACCCGGAGTTACGCAATTTTCAAATCTCGTCGATTCGTCTTTTGTTTGAGCATCACACAACTCTTGATTAATCACGCCCCCCACACTATTGTTCAGCTTACATGTTCGGACGTGTCACACGGAATCGACACATAGCTACAATTTATTTTGTGTTTGTTATATCTACAGAGACTTGAGAGACTCTATGTGGTAATTTCTTGTAACCGTGAACAAATCAAAAGACGAGATAAGATTAATGAGAACATTTATTAGCTTATATATAACCGACTTGGATTTTACACAAATTGCGAAATTATACCTCAACTTACGCGGTTATCGCTCGGTCCCACCTATCGCGTAAATTCGGGGTATTACTGTAATGAAAATGTAGCTAAATATTTTCAACTGAAAGAGAAGATTACTTTTTTTATCAATAAGAATAAATAAAATTTTATTTGATTATTTTATAATAATTAATAAAAAGGAAACCTTTATGTGGAAAATGGAGGAGTCTCATTTATACAGAATCAGATCTATTACATAAAAAATGATGGTTAAGTGTATACTGAAGAATAAATTACATTCATTACTTCATCATATCTTATTATGTTTTGCCAATGAAAGATATATATATACTAAAATTAAATGCCAGTCATACATACATACGACAAGCATTTAGTTTCATTTTTTGGTTATAAACAATAACCAATAAATTTTCTTAAAAAAGATAATTACTTTAAATAGTAGTAATATTGCTCTTACAGAAAGTTCTCAGCTTACATTTTTAATCATCCCAGCACTTTATACATATGTTGATTTTAATGTAACTCAAAGCAAGGTTTTTTTAATATACTTTTTAAAATAATAAATCACAAGCAATTGCAGCAAAAGTTTAGCCATGTTTGTACTTATGGACGATTTTCATTTTAGCCTCCAAATCAATCAACTGAACCCTTATGACAAGGTTTTCAATCATTTGATTATTTTATATCAACTGTACTTGAAATTTGAGAACAACAAGAGAAAAATATTCATGGGGAGTTATTTTTTGGTTAGTTTGTTTCATTATAAACATTTATTTTCCTTACATATATTCAGTAATTTATACATAGTACTAGTTATAAATAGATAGCTATCAAGCCACATTTTCACAATCTCACAAAAAAAAAATTTAATTACAAATGCAACTTAACAAATGTAACAATCTATCTTTTACTAATCTAATATAAACTAAACTACCATAATTATTATTAATTAAAAATACAATAATTTAAGCAAAATTAATACCACCATCTAGCAAAGAGAATAAAGTGAAAATTTTTAAAATATAAGCCCAGATCAGAATATGTCAAATACAATGTAAGTTGAGCACTACCTATATATAATATTAGAAATAAAAAACATAGATACTAACTGCAAAGTTTTTATTAGTTTCCAATATATAATAGTGTTACTATCTATTATTTATCATTATACAAATCAAATGGAGACTAATATCATTTTCAAGACATCAATACAATTTTAATTTATTTGTTTCATTATTTTTCAACTCTACAGTGTAGAAATCCATTTTATATTAAATAACATAATGTAATTCATTTCATTTTACATTAATTATAAAATGGATATTATACACTGTATATTAATTATAAAATTATTCAATAACTTTCAATTGTCTTTGTTATTGTCTTTTAATTTTAGAAATCATTACACAATGTTTTCTAAATAGTAACTAGATCAACAAAACACTTTTTTAGTCCATTAAATAGATAAACCTTACAATCCATCAAGTCTATCATATCGATAACTCACCTTTCGTTGAATAAAGGTACAAATAAAATGTATTGACAAGTAGTTGACGCTAAGTGTAGTGAAAAAGTATAACAATAATTTTTTGCATAAATTTTTTGAATAAGGCACAAATAATCTTCTGTTAGTTAAAAAAGAACATTAATCATTAATAATAACTTAACAAAATATAATAATAATAAAACTGCAGTAACTTAAACCTAAACTAAACCAGTGGTTCTAAACCAAGTGTCTGTACACTTGATAAGTTGATTTTTACCCTTCAATCTTAATTTTGTGTTATTATGTGAAACTGTTAATTATGTGTTAAAAAAACAAATATTACTGTATCATATTTTTTTATTTTAAGCATTTAAAAACATTATTACAAGAAGGAGTCCATGACCATGACCTTCACCTGATTAAAAAAGGGATCCAAGGAAAAAAAATGGTTAAAAACACCTAGACAATAAAAAAGGGAAAAATTAAGAATAATCAGTTACATTAATTCCTTTATTGCTGGCTAGATTTTTTTCCGAATGTCTAGGCCAAAAACATGGGTGTGCTTTATACACAGCAAAATATAGTAATAATAAATAAACATCATAGTATAATTTTTTTCTAAAAATTGATGACAGAGACATTAATGCTTTCCTGTAAAAAGTTAGAGTATATCTAAATAAATTTTAATTCATAATATTTAACTAGTTTTACAAGTATAATAATTTTTTATGTCATTCTTTTATAATAAGACTATCAATCTTTTCACATTATAGTAGAAAACATTACCATAATCTTAAATATAATCAACTTGCCTTAAAATAAACATCAATAAAGCAAATTCTTTATTGGTCTGCATTGACCATTGGTCTGCAAAATTCCATTGCTACAATGTTAATTTTCATGTGATAAAGCAAATAAACATTTTATCAGAATTCATTAAACTGAACTGTAAATTATCTTTACAATGCCCCAGAAATAACCCTATTTCCAAGAATAGTTACTTTTTACACTTTTTGATGTAAACAATGAAAAGTGGCACTGTAATAAATGTTCCATTTTCAATAGAAAAATTTTCTTTTTTTAGTAAGCAAATATGGGTTCAACCTCTGATTGTATAGCAATTCAAACATCTAGTTTTTGTAAACTATTCTACAGAACTCAGAAAATGGGGGTTAAAGTTTAAAGATGCTCACTCCTTTAAATGGATGCAATGGAATAGTTTGCATATCAGGGAGTGCATACAATGATGCAAGATTTGCCTACTTTGTGCCAAATTTGGCTCCTTGTTTACTCCTTTAGCACCAAGAAATATTTTTTACTTTTGTTTGAAAAAGTAATCTTCAACAGAAAAAAATTTTTTTAGCTTTTCGTTTAACCACTCTGATATACTGCTCCACACTTCAAGAGCAATATAGTCTCCTCATTTTGTTTGATTTGAAAATCATTTAGAACATTACTTTGTTTTTATNATAACTTGAATAAAATATGATAAAGCACATTACAATATCTCATATTTTATTTAATAATTAAATAGAAAAAATCTATTCTAAAATAATGTTTTTCAAAACTGGCCTTACACAGAAGGGAAAAAAATGTATTCTGTTAAATAGAATCCAGTCTACTTCTTCAGTAATAAAACTTCATAATAGCTCTTTCTTTCTGTAATTTCTATCATAAACTGTGATAGAAAAGAAATCTTATTGTCAACTTAGTTTGGTTTCTTTGTTCAGAAACCATGATTTATACTTTGGATATACTTGTCAACAGTATCAATTACTCAGTATATCAAAATATTGATGTACTATTTGTGAATTTGTTAGAAAGAAAAAGAAAATGAGAATATCACTATTTATCCATTAATGTTTAATCATAAAGTCTATTAATTTTCAAAATTTCAGACTGCTTTACAGTTTAAATGTAATTTCAAAAACTGTATGTATCAATATAGCTTTATATTATTAAAATTAAAAATACACACACACACAATATACATATAAATACCTGCTGGGAGTTTGGAAACAGGAATGTAATCCTACAAGGAATGGATAATTGGAAGCTGTTTCAAATACATGCTTTTCTGTTTGAACCCAATCGATATCCTTAACAGAAAATATCATAAATAAGTTTATATGAATTTAAATTATATTAACTAAAATAATAATAATTAATAATTTATATTTACTTCATCATCTGTCACTAATTCCTTTTTTATTACTTTCATAGCATATATTCGATTTGTTTTTTTCAGTTCAACCATTAAAACTTTAGCATAAGAACCTCTTCCAATAACACGTAAAAGATCAAAATCTTCAATAGTGTATTGACGAGAATCAGATGGTTCTAACTATAAATTAAAAATTTATTGTTAAACATGCATTTAACCTAAAAACATTTATATAACAAAAATAAAAATAAATGTGTCTCACATATAAAAAACAAGCATTTATTTTACACTTTTCCAAAATCAGAACATATTGTAAAAACAAAACATTTAGAAGATATAGTGTAACTTTGCCAGTCATTGCCACATACAAATTAAAAATTTTTAAATAAGCTAGTTAAATACAAAAGCTGCTCTTACCAACTACTGTTGAAGAATTAAATTTGGATATATCAGCTAAACGTTAATTAGCTAGTGAAATATAGTTGAGAATAAGTTGATCAAATTTGCACAGTATTTTAGAGAAAAATGTGTTAAGAAAAATTATATTTTAATTGTACATAGCAATTACAGGAATTTTGTATACAATTAACAAAAAATATTTGTTTTCTAATTTTGAAACTATCTCAAAATTATCATAATATACTTTGACTGTATAACTTTTAATTAATATAGAATATATTATGTATTATAAATGTTTTAGTAATATGATTGTTAATCTTTTCTAGGTTTTTTCAAATGTAATGAAATCACACTTACAAATACAGCATTAATAAACACAGTATTGTGCTATTTAAATTTAATTTAAAAAAATAAATAAATAAAATTGTTTTAACTCACCTAATGTAAAATTTAACCATTTACATGCACAGTAACAAGAATTATAAATTTTAATGCTTATGTAATTGAGAGCAACTTACAAAGTGATCAGAAAATAGCACTCTAACAACATATGACCATTTTTAGACCAATGACAGTTAATGCCATGCCATGGAAAAGTTGTCTGTATTTATAATATCCAAGGCTTTAGAGTAAAGTATGCATTTAAGCTCTGTGGGGATGTTTCTACATACTGTATGGCCAAAATGTTATATCCATGTTAATTAATTTCATAGAAATAATCTATTAGACTAATATTTACTATAAATGAAAATGTAACAAATGACTGTGATCCACTTGATATTGTGAGAATCTGCAGCTGAGAGATTAATTTTAACAAATTTTGTTAAAATGTTTATTAAATATAACTGACAGAATTTTATCTATTTGTAAAAATCATACAAAGTTGAAAAAGGTTTTCCTATTTTGATTACATTATGAAATTTTGCTGTAAGATTTCATTGTATAGATAATAAATGATAATTAGATGATTATTTTAAACTTGAACATATCATTGAATGCTTTTAGTTGCTACTGGAAAAATTTCATTAGTTCTTAGTTCAGGAGAAAAATAAAATGTTTCTTAATTTTGAAAACTTTCAGCAATTAGAATTTTATACAATATACATTGTACTTTTCAACTNTTATATTTTAATTGTACATAGCAATTACAGGAATTTTGTATACAATTAACAAAAAATATTTGTTTTCTAATTTTGAAACTATCTCAAAATTATCATAATATACTAATTAGATTTAAAAAAAATTACAAAAAAATAAAATAAACATAATAGCAAAATTATCAACTAAAATAGAAAACTGTAAACAGATAATCAGCATTTTAAAATAAAATTTTTCCATTTTATAAATATTTCAGTAAAAATTTATGATTTCCAAAAATCCATCCAGCAAGAAACAGCTTTAAAGTCATCAGCTAAATACTTAAAATTACAGAAAAAATACAAAAGTTATGTTTTTAATAAAAAAAAAAAAAAAAAAATTGAAGTTTACATAATCAACTATAGAATTTATAAGTCGGATTTTTTCCCCTAAAAATCTAGATGGAATTAAATATTTCATTAACCCAAACTTCCATTTTATCAAAAACCCACCAAATTAATGTACATAAAATAATTTTCTCTCTCGAAAATAATTTACCTCTTTTGATATTTGATCAACATCTTGAACAGCTCCACTTATAACATCAATATCTGACAATATACTTTCTCTGAGTTCTTTATTTTGTGAATGACGTTTTTTAGCTGCTGGAGTTGCTGCTGTAAAATAAATTTATATCAATACTTTAACCTTAGTTAATCACCCAAAAAATTGATGTTAAATTTAGAATTAACAGATTCAATATTTATTAATAAAAAATAAAGTGCATTCTCACTAACTCAAATGAATTATTGTATAGGTGTTGTTCAGATTAGTGCGATTATATACAACTGATTCTAGATTTAACATCTTTCAAAAAGAATAGAGTAAAAGTTAGCAGAATCCAAAACACTTGATTTTAACAAGAATTAGTCCAATTTTGATTTGGTTAGGGTTAGTATTTTAACATTTATTTTATAGTCATTTTTATGTTCTAAATAAAATATACACAATAATTTTATCATTTATATACCTCGTCCCGTAAACCACGGGAAAGAAGGTAACTATTTCCCTTCTTTACTGTATTAGTTGCCCTTTACACGCAAATAGTTCCTCTTCTCCTCCCTTTTCCTCTTCTCAACAAGTTTCCAGATGAGCTTTGTGTACTAGTATCAAAAGTTGTATTAGGTAAATCCGGATTAACTAATGAAATATGTATATCTGATGATTGCTGTGGAATTGAAGATTGCTGTATATCATGCTTTTGCTGATCTGCTGTATTGGCCTCAAAGATAGCATCTCCAACACTCTACTGAATATAAGCTATATATGTATAGCTGCCTGTTTCTGAAGAATACTGATATCAATGTTGGATTCTAATTAATCTATGTATTTCTTTATGTTTTTTACTACTATTCCTGTTGCTCCTATTACTATTGGAACAACAGTCGTCTGTGTATTCCACACGCAGTTGGTTAACTTCCAATTTCAAAAAATGATATTTACTCAATTTTTCAATTTCTTTAGCACCAATGTTATAATCTGATGGTACAGTTTTATCTATTAAAAATGTTTCATTACAATTTTTATCAACATAAATTAAATCCGGTCTATTGTGAGACACAGTGACATCAGTTTGATCAGGCATTTCCCATAGTATCTTGGCTATTTTCCTTAACTTGTGGCTAGAGTAAAATTTCCTTCCACCATTGGTCAGCAACTTCTATTTTATGTTTTCGGGCCAGGCACCAGTAGATGTACTGGACAAGGTTATTATGACGTCTTACATAACAAGTCCCCGCCAGTTTTTCACATCCTGATATAATATTCTGTGTGGTCTCGTCTTTAGTCACACATAGGCGACATTTCCCATCTACTGATTCTTTTAAGATGTCATGTTGATATTGTCGTGTCATAACAACCTGGTCCTGTATAGCAAATATTAATAATTCAATACTTGGGGCTATTTGTTGCTTTTTAATCTATTCAAATGTAAGCTCTCTATCTATATTACTCTGATCTAACACCTTTTTAGGAAATTGACCATGTAATTGTTTATTTCTCCAAACAACATTATGCCATTTTACTATTGATTTTTTAATTTCTTCATCTGTATGTATTTTTCCTTGTTGTAAATATAATTCACCTTCTATCTCTTCTGCTTCTTTTATTATTGAATATTTATCCCTACCTATATCATGCTTTACTATTACTTTGATCAAATGATCTCTTTCCTCTTTTAAGTATTGTTTATATTTAACTATTTGTGCTTTATACATGTACTCTATATTTAATAGTCCTCTTCCTCCATGATTTACCAGTAAATAGTCTTTCTACTTTAATTAAAATGCCTCAATGTCCTTTTCTTACAAAATTATAAACTTGCAAATTGTTGATAAAGAAGGTCACTTCATTGTGCCAATATACAAACATAAATAACAACACGGTTTTGATAACAACAACAAAATTACTGGAAAACAGAAATGGCAGTTGACATCAGAATAGGAAGATATGGAGGAAGCACAGCACAGAGAAACAGACTATGTCACAAGGATACAAGGTGAGATTAAAAAACTTGCTGTCAATATAGATTACCTAAAAGCTCACATTGCGGAGAATAGACAACTAAGAACACTTTCTCTCCCCATCAGCCAGAACATACCAACATGCGAGAGGAAATATATAAACTCTAGAATCATAAAATCTACAGTAAAATTTAAATACATTAAAATTCGAAGATTAAAGCGTAGTCTACAAAAATATAAAAACCAGAGAAATCAACAGGAAAATGAAGAAACTAAAATTCTATATAATAGTAGTATCGATAATTATAGAATAGATAAAAATATAAAATTAATAGAAAAATTTAAATACCCCTCTATAGAAGAGATATCAGAATGGAAAAAATCCCTTGTGTTAAATAAAACAAAGTATGTGATTCCTAAAGATATTCTTGAGACAATGCAGACAGGATTAGACTTTAACGGTCTTAATAGTTGGAGAGTGATAGATATAATACCAAGCCTAGACAAAGTGTGTGGAGAATTGACAGAAGTAGACTCTGAGATAATGAAAATTAAATTAAGTAACATTATAAAAGCACATATTGTGAGACAAAAAGATAGAGTAATCGTCAGGGATAAAAATTATTATAAATACAAAACAGAAATTGAAAAATTGCACAAGTACTTAAATGATAATAATCTTAATATAATTAGAGCAGATAAGTCTAAGCAAATTGTAGTTGTAACCCAAGACTGGATTGTTTTAAAAAAACTACAAATCATAAACGGAAAAAATTTCAGAGAACTACAGATTAATCCAAGAAAAATCATATACGAAGAACTAAAAAAACGAATTACGAAACTACAAAAACTGGGGGANTTTTTCACATCCTGATATAATATGCTGCGTGGTCTCGTCTTTAGTCGCACATAGGCGACATTTCCCATCCACTGGCTCCTTTAATATGTCACGTTGATATTGTCGTGTCATAACAGCCTGGTCCTGTATAGCAAATATTAATGATTCAATACTTGGGACTATTTGTTGCTTTTTAATCCATTCAAATGCAAGCTCTCTATCAATATTACTCTGATCTAACACCTTTTTAGGAAATTGACCATGTAATTGTTTATTTCTCCAAACAACATTATGCCGTTTTACTATTGATTTTTTAATTTCTTCATCTGTATGTATTTTTCCTCGTGGTAAATATAATTCACCTTCTATCTCATGCGCTTCTTTTATTATTGAATATTTATCCCTACTTATATCATGCTTTACTATTACTTTGATCAAATGATCTCTTTCCTCTTTTAAGTATTGTTTATATTTAACTATTTGTGCTTTATACATGTACTCTATATTTAATAGTCCTCTTCCTCCATGATTTACCGGTAAATACAATCTTTCTATCTCTGCTTTTTGCCGATGTGCCTTTTTAATTGCTAGTAACTTTCGTGTTTTGACATCTATTTTCCTTAGGTCACTATTTTTATAGTTGATTATACCAAATGAGTAAAGCAAGACTGGGATGGCATATGTATTTATACCTTTTATTAAATATCGCAAATTAAGGTGTGTATTTAAGTTTTTTGATCCTTCTAAAATATTCTTTTGTCATCTGTTCTCTAATGACGCTATGGTCTAGTTTTCCTGATTCTTGTACACCCAAGTATTTATATCTATCTCCAATTGCAAGTTGCTTGAAACTCTCTCCACTCAGTAGTATATGTCCTTCACCCATAGCACTACTCCTTTGTCCTGCAGTTATATATAGTACTTTGCATTTATCCAGTCCAAACCTCATTCCTGTATCACTTGTAAAAATCTCAACGCTATCCAGTAATACTTTTAGATTATTTCTACTATTTGCATAAACCTTAAGGTCATTCATATATAAGAGATGATTAATCCAGATACTATCCTTCAATTTATAGCCTTTCCTTTCATACTTATTTAGTAGGAATGAAAGCGGGTTTATAGCCAGGCAGAACAACAATGGGGAAAGAGAATCACCCTGAAATATTCCACGTCTTATGTAAATCGGTTGAGTAGTGATTAAATCCTGGGAGCCACGAGCAGTCATGATCACTCTCCATGTAGGCATAGTCATTTGGAGGAATCTTTTAACTATAGATGGACATTTATAAATATCAAGAATTTTAAGAAGCCATTCATGTGATACACTATTGTTGGCTTTTTGATAGTCTATCCACGCCATACTCAAATTTCTTTGAGACTGGTGTGCATCCTCCAATATTGCTTTATTGACCATTAGATGATCTTTGCAACTCCTGGCTCTGCGGCGACACCTTCTCTGTTCCTCTGCTATTATGCCGTTCTCATGGCAGTGGCCATAAAGCACATCAGCCAATACAGCAGTAAGAAATTTATACATACTCGCTGGACATGCTATTGGTCTCCAGTTTTTCAGCTCTTCCGAGTTTTCATTTTTGGGTATAAGTATGACTTTACCTGTAGTAAACCAATCTTCTAACTTCTCTATTCCTAAGATTATATTTGTAAATAATACAGCTAAATATTTGTGAACACTAGTCAAATACTTAATGTAATAATTTTGAATTTTGTCTATTCCCGCAGATTTCCAATTCAATAATTTTTGTATAGCAAATTTTACTTGGCATTCTGTAATCTCTTCTACTTCTACTGTATCCTCCTGAAGCCGCTTCTATCTCTTTAACCCAATCAGCTTCCATATTATATTGTTTAGGAATAGACAGTACTGACATCCAAAATTCTTCAACTTTTTCTTTACTTGGTAATTTAATATTTTTTTTGCATTGTCTTCCAAACTTCTGTACAACCCGTGCTCGTTTTCTTTAAATAACCTATTCTGTTCCTTTTTTGTATTCATTTCTTTGTATCTTTTAATTCTACCTGTTAGAGCTCTGATTTTTTGTTTGATGATTTCTATTATATTATTTTCATCATTTTCAGTATGGATATTGTATTTTATATAAAGACTGTACCTAATTTTTCTCATTCTATGGGTGTCAATTCCTCTTTTTATCTCTGTTAGTTGTTCTAGTTCTTTCCTAAAATTATCTATCTTAGTTTGTATTCTTTTTTTCCAAGCTGGGCTACTTTTTTGTTTTGTAATCACTGTAGACTTGTATGGCATTTGGTTATTACTTTCTATTAGAGTTTTAGCAGCTGCATATATTATATCATTTATTTCACGCAGGCTATTATTAGTAATTAATAAACTATGTAAATATTCATTGAGAATATTTAGATTTTCTATGAAACATCTGTTTTTTTTTTGGCTTTAGGTAGAAGTAACCGCTCATCAAAAGTGATTTCTTTCATTTCAGCCAATATTCGAAGAAACTGCAAAACTATAGGTTCTTGATCCTCATCAACTACTATATTTTGTGTCAGCTGGTCCATCTTCTACACAATCTGTTATGGGTTGTATACCATACTGGTTATTGTGCACTGTATATGTTCTACCGTTCTCAGGTTTGGCAATCACATTTTCAATCAGTTCTGTAGGTTCTATTTCCTCTGCCTGTTTTTGTATACGGTTGAGTAGTTCTAATAGCAATAAAAATTACTTGATTGAAACATCATTTGAGAAATGAATTTTTCATAAATAAAAATATTCTTTCACTAATATGAACCACTGATACTAATCAAGAATTATAAATCAGACATAAGTAATCAATTAATTATAATTAACTACATTAAAAATCAATTTTATAATTATAATCTAAAATTTTTATATCTGATCTAAAAACATTAGTTTTAATAACAAAAATAAGAACATACAGTAGGTGATTGGTTAATCTGTTCTAAGATCATGTTCACTACCTGAATTCGTTAACCGATTATCGATTTACCATAGATTTTTAAGGGAATTTGATTAATTCGTTCTGGAGACCAAAAAAATAAAAAATTATATACTTTTTTACCATGTTCACTTATATGTATTAATAAAAATACACATATACACAGTCTTGCATTTTTAACAGTCATGTTTTTTCCATTTGTGGGGTTAAAGAATCTGTCTAATGTCGATTGCTTTTTCTCTCTTTAAAATTTTTTGAAAGTAATTAATAGCATTGTCATTGTATAGATCCCTAAGTCTATTAACCTCAACCTGGTTTGGATGCCATTCTAAGACCATTATTCTGACATCCTTCCACTTCTTCAAAAGATCTGTAATAGCAGATGTCAGCATTAATCCTCTTTTTCAGAAGAAAACATATCTCACTGAGTTTCTTGGTGTTCTTCATTCAAGAGTTCTTGGCATTCTTCTATCATCAGATCAGTTTCAGGTTCCATTATGAGCTCTTCAATGTTCATTATTTCTCAGATATGATTTTTGTTACTCCTTCAGCTGCTTGAGTCTTCTTGATAATACTGTATTTTTCTTAGATAAGATTGAACTGTGGCCTACTGTAGACCTGTTCAAGCCATACTGCCCAGCAACATCAGACATCTGCCCATTCTCTACCTTTGCTATTATACTCTCACCTTTCAAAAATAAAAACCGATGCAAAACTTAACAAGTGCCTGCCCGACAGTCTCGAGAAGACTGAAAAAGTTCTTTCTATCAGAAAAATGAAAGGCTGAAATTACAAGGGAGTGTTTCAAAGTTTGGAGAAATATTATTCAATCAGTATATACTGAGTTGAGCGTTGATGTCAATGTCGATGTCAAAATATTAAATTATATAACATACTTTGTATAAACATTATAAATACTAGAAAGCATGTCAACATCATTAAGCACATCCTGCAATATCAATTCTATATATTTTAGAATTAAAGTAAATCAATCAGCATTTGTTTTTAAAAGACAGCATCAATCAATTCGAATACTTGGCTTAAAATTTAACCAACATTTTTCATTCGTTAGTGTGATTCATTTCCAAAGAATTAAATAAAGAATTAACCTTTCATGAACGATAACTTTAAAAATTCTATTGAAGAACACTAGCTTTTGTTTTTTCTATAATAATAAAGCAACTTGTTTTCCTTGCAGATGAGATTATATTTTGCACAGTTTGCAACAAATAGTACAAAATAACATTAAAATAATTAGCATTTAATCTGTTTTAATCTGTATTTAAAATACAATAAATTTCAAGTTTTACAAAATTACAATAGAAAATTTTTTTTATAAATTCTTATTATAAAATATAACATTAAATATATAATAAAACAAATATTGTTCAAATCTGGTCCACGAAAACTGTTCAAATTTGAACAAAAAATATGAACTGGAATTGTAATTACAGTAGACCCCCTATAAAGTGAGTTAATATAGTTCAGATTCCTATATGACGGCGAAAAAATTGCGACTGTATTTGTATAAACACGTTAAAAGAGACTCATATAATTCAGTAAAACATCATCTCCAACTCGTGTCACGACAGGATTGGTCGAATCTAGACCAATAACAGATATTGAACAAACCGTTGAGTTTAAACAAGCAGTGAACCTACTAAAAACCATTTATTATTTAACGGCCATAAATATAATTTTTATATTTAAGCTTTAATTAAAGTTCAGCAAAGTTTTCACAGAAAAATAATTTATCAGAAAGCACATGAACGCCATTCGATGCACTGCTCCACAAAGAAAACAAGCTTAAGCAATGGCGTCATTGAACGGTGCACACTCGGTAAGTAATCCTACAATTTTTTGTTTATAGCATAGTTTATATCAGTGTTTCTCAACCTCTAACGAATCGTTGCACCCTTCAATAAAACCATTACATAGTATTGCCCCCTTTACTATAAATTCCAATGCCCAGGGCCAAGGCTAACGCCAAATTCGTACTGCATTGAATAGACTAGTGACTAGGATAATGTTATTTGTTTAATTATTGTACGATATAATGAATAAAATATCTAATTATTCTTAATATAATGTTTTACTATATCGCCCCCCAAAATATAAATTGTTACTAATCGCCCCCTCAACATGGAAAAACACCCCCATTGAGAAACACTGGTTTATATGGATTATTCCCAAAAAATTATACGTATTTTGGAAATGTTGAGTCAAATTAGTCTAGAATCGGTTAATTTTATGGAAGGAAACCTTTCAAACAGCCGTAGTCCGTAAACTGCAAACGTGCCGCGATGTGATTGGCTCATGTATTTAAGGACTCGTAGAAAATGGATTTCATAAAAACTGGAACATATCTACCGTGTTATAGGAAGGGGGGGGGTCGATTGTACTAAAGAGTATACATAAATTTAGAACTTTTATTCTAACACATTTATAAAAAAAATTAAAATGCAAAAAGATTAATTTTGTAATATGTTTGTGTTTATTGTTTACATATGAATCTGAGTTTATTGTGATTCATAAAAAACTTGGATAAATTTAAAGCATAAGAGTTAGTTCAGTTGTTGTTATACTGGATCAATTTCTCAAGACTTGGTAGCTTAAATCCATTATCCAATATTTGTAACTTTTTCACTTTAAGTGTATAATTTAATTGACTAAAAAAAGGCTAAAGAAAGAAAAATAATAGCATTTAAAAAAATTATCATTAAACATAATTGAATTAAAAGGATAATCAAAATTATATACATATATATTTTTAATCAATTTTGAAGAAAAACAATTACAATTAAAAAAAACTAAATTACTTATTAATTAATTAAAGCTGAAAACAAAATCTGTCAAAACCATCACATTTTTATTCACTTCCATGTTCTGGAATACATTCCATGACGACTTGAAGGAAAGACTTTATTCATGATGACCTGAAGGATGACTTTATTCACATTTTTATTCACTTTCAGGTTTTGGAATGTATTCCAAAACCTGAAAGTGAATAAAAATGTAACTGTTTTGATGAATTTTGTCTTCAGTTTTAATTAATTAATATGAAAATTACTATCTAGATAAATTTTACAAAATTGAAAACTAACTACTTATTACATTCAAATTTCTTTAGCAGCAAATACATGGAATTTGAATGTTAACAAAAAAAGCATTCAAAAGTATTTGGATAATGAAGTAGAATATATTCTAAAAATTTTTAATATAACAATAGAGAGGTTGTGGCCGACGTTTTCAACGCAAAAAGGTGTACATCAGTTGTTCAACACTGCCTTCCCGTAAGCCTAGAAGTTTGACAATGGCACTTGAAACGTCGAGTATGATTCCACTGATGTTCCAAATGCCATTATCAAACTTCTAGGCTTATGGGGAAGGTGGCACTGAACGTCTGACATACACATTTTTATGCTGAAAATGTTGGCTGCAACCTCTCTAATAAAGTTGACATCAAGAATAATTTCGTAAGAATGAAACCAATGTTAACTTTTCATTTTCAAATTTATCACTCTGTTTGTAAAATTACATTAAAATATGTTTCTATAGTAATTACATATAAATTTTGCTTTAAAAAAGCTAATAAATTCAAAGTTTAACTGAATTTTAAAAATAATACAGTTAAACTTTGTATGTTTCATTTTATTTGCAGTAAAAACAATGTTTTATAGAGAAAATAAGTGAGCTTAGTCATATCATGCTTAATACATTGTCATTAATTTCATTTATTTCTTCTAATAAAACAATGTTATAAAAAAATAATCATTACAGTTGCAATTACTTGTAAAATAAAATAATACTGACATCTTATTAGTGAAGTGGTTTCAGCATCTCCATTTGTAGCAGCATTAGAATTTTGTGAACGAGATTGTGCTGGAATTGAAGAAACAGATTCCAGATGATTTTGAGTTGTTTGATCCTGAAATAATTGTAAATATATAATTTAATAAAAAATCAGAAAGTTTAAAAATTTCAAAAATTGTATTTGATATATATATATATATTGATTACTTTATTATTTTTTTATTACTTCATTTATTTTATGTATGAAAAAGATACATAATTCAGTTGTTTTAAAATTAAATAATTTTTTTATTGCTATAATTTTGTGCAAATAACCCATGGATGATCTGGGTTTAAAGTCAATTTGAAAACAAATATGGGTTATGTAATGTACAAATTATCTGCTGATATTAATCAAGGAGGTTATAGTATAAGGAGTGGACATGCCCAATTCTTCTTGCAGTAACATGTGAAGCTAGAAATGGCAGTGGGTGGAGTCTGGAAAGCTCCTTCTCCTACCACCTTTTCAATGACATTGCAATGCACAGATGAAACAAAGGTTAAAGAAATGACACATGTAAATGGTTTTATTCCTTTATTTTGCACAAAATGCACAGAAAAAATCTAGCAATGAGTTGTGTAACTTTCACAGATGTTATGAGAATCTGTTTTAATTGACGAAATAACTCGTCAAGTTTACATAGCGTTACGAAAAATTCGGTAGTTAAGGCCACTTTTGACAAAAATATTTTTTTTTTCAATTTTTGAAATGTTTTTTAGGTCCACAAATTTTTGCAAAAATTTTTACCTGCGCGAAAAAATTTTATCGTAATTTCAATGAGCCGTTGATAAGGCTCGATTAAGGCTTAATTGTTTTTTAAAGGAAGTTTTTTATCAAATTTATTTCATGGTTCCTAAGTTGTAGTGCACGGATTTTCCTTCGGTAAAGTTATTTAAAGCTAGTTTCTGATGTCAAAAACGATCTCCGATAGTTTTTTAATTTTTATTAATTAATCGATTTTATTATATATAAATTTAATTAATTAGGGGGGTCGGAAATCGCAATTAAAATCTTAATTTTTTAAAAATATTTTAAAATATAGGCGTCGCTCATATTCACCCTACTTTAAACCCTTGTCCTCCCGAGACGTCTATGAGAATGCCCTGGGAAATCTGACTCCAGCTGTTCTCAAGGTCATCCAGCTATGTAAACAATGACTCATTGGTGTTAAATTTTGCAGAAAGGCAAGATAAAGGAACTTAAACTTAGAAGCTTTTTCTTCAAAATAAACACATTTCTTTCGTTCTTTTTCAGTTTTAAGTATTTTTTATGCTTAATTACATCATAATTAATGACAGGTGGGCGTTAAGGGGTTAAAAAACTTTTATATTACTTATTGTAAAATAGCAAAAGCCTTAATTCTGAAGGTAGCAGTGAGTTTTATAAAAAAAAATTGTATCTGTTAGTAATAAGTAAAATCTTCATTAAGTATGATTCCTCTCAATATATGACATCCTCTATCTCCTCACCTCCTCATGCTTTAACTACCAAAACTTAACAGCATCAATGTCCCTTATACAAAGGCTTTCATAACAAATTTGTTTCTAAATCTTTATCCCATCGTGGGATATTAAACAAAATAGATGCCAACACACTTATGCACATGCATGGAATTTTTCGTTTTTTTTTTGGACTGTTTTGTGTTCAGGTCTCAAAACATGATTTGCAAAAAACTTAGAGGGTCAAATTTGACTAAATTCCAATACTTTCCCTTCAATGTATATGTAACAGGTAGGAAAATAAAACTTACTGATTAAATATTATTCCATTTTTGCCACCTTTTTTCAGTTTATTACTGCACTTTCAAATACAACAGACAGTTTTTCACGTTAATATGTAATACTAAATTGAAAATGCATGTAAATCTTCTGAAGTGCATTCAAAAAGGGTAGCACTACAATAGCAGCTTCCAGAAAGTTCTTCCTCTTTCTGGCAGGTGTGGACATGATGTCACCCAAAGTCCTTTGTGACATAATGTCCACACCTTTATACTATAACCTCCTTGATATTAATTCATATTTATAAACTCTTTATTTGTCATTTGTATAAAGTCATTAAAAGTCATTACGAGTATCTTTAAAAAAGTGAAAATTTTTTACATTCTGCAAATACCTGTCATTGTGATTTTTCCCAGAACTATTCAAAACACACAATCATTTTTCTATCATCCATTTTCCTTGCATCAAACCACATTTTAATTATTATGTGTTGGGTTTAGTGGGTTATACTCGGTACACACCGGTGGCTGTGTACTATGCCGGACCAGAGTCAAGGCATAGCAACCAAAACAAAACTAAAATTAAATGTGTGTGTCAGTGTCAGTATTAAGGAATTTTCTAACAATATGGCATGTATTCAATATAGTGGCCTTCTGTAGTGTGATGTATGTATTTCTACTCAATTGTAATGTTCCCAGGCTTTTGTGTAGCATGTGTGGTATCACACCTGTACAGGAGAGAACAACAGGTACAATAACTACCCTATCCATCCTCCACAGATGCCTTATTTCCTGGGCGAGTTCTGATTATTATTATTATTATTATTATTATTATTGTTGTTGTTGTTACTGTGTGTAATTTCTACTTTCTGCAGTATTTGTTTAAATATATCTAAATATCTATGATCTGTATAAACATCCAACTACAATTTGCTCTTCTGATACTCTTTAATTTTAGCAGCAGGAATGTAAATATTCACTCTATAATGGTCATGGCATAACTCAGCGCTTTTTTTTTGTCATAGAATGCAATGGAATGGCGTTCCATCATATATTTTAAAAGTTTTAAGAGAATTTTTGAAAATTTGATGTTTGGCCCACGTTGAATTGCTCTGTTGAGCATAGAAAATCGGCAACAAAATTATTAAGACAGTTCTGCTCCTGCTTGTTTGCCGAATCTTGTGTACAATGCATGTAATATATTTTTAGTAACAGGATGAGCATTCCACCACCTTTTTTTCCCCCAAAAAATGCACTGGCATAACTACAGAAAACCCATTACCATAGATTTGTGCTGTTCATGTAAGTATCCATATCTAAGAATTGCCTTAATTATATGACATGTGTTTAATATGGCTGCTTTCTACACAATCTTCATTTAATAACCCACCTGTTTAATGACTGCTTGGACTTATAACCAGCTCTCCAACACAGGAAATTCCTTTCTCAGTCTGAGTCTCGTGTTTCAAATGAATGTTCTGCATTCAGCTAAATTGTTACTATTGAGTTCTGCTGCTATATTCTGTTGTTAGTCTTTGTTTTATTTGTTCAGTGAGTTTGGTTTGTTAGAATTTTACATATTTATAGATATTGCCTCTATCCATAGATTCAATGACATCTACATTTCTGAGTACAAAACCAACTTTCTTCAGGATGTCTTTTTCTACGAGAAGTGTTCTATATTTGTCTACATCAAACTCCATTTAAATATCAATGGACTAAGTGTGTATAACTTCTAAGAAGTGATTTAGCTGTGCTTGTGTGGATGCATAAAGTTCTTTTGTCTTCTATATACATGAGTTAACACATATTGTGCTGTTCTCTTGTGCTTAATGTTGTATCCATATTTATTGTTGTTTAATTTATGAAATAGTATGTTTAAGGCTTAAGAAAATCAAAGCAAACCAGGGATGAAAACTATGTTCAATCATGTGAATGGGATTCAGAGAAAATTAAAACAGTCTCAGGAAAACTTACAGTAGAAGAATAACATTATAGCTTCAAAAGCATCATAACAAAATGAAGTAACATCTTACAAGGGGACCTTACAGTCTCGGAAATTCAGTTCGGGATGAGACTTTGCAGGTTAGTAGTATACCTCAAGGGTGTCCACCAAGAAGAATTGTAACGCGCACTAGCCAGAAGATTCCGAGAAAAAGGGTTCTAAAGTTTTAAGTGCAACTCATATACTGGTCAATTTTACACTATGGCAGCGCAGCGAAATGGCTGATTCTGTAGCGAACTCGCTTACAATGCAGGCGATCTAGGTTTGATCCTAGCTTTCGATAACTTTTTTTTTTTAAATTGTTTTAAAAATTATAACAATTTTTAAATAAAGTTAATGACCTAAAAATATTATCAATTAAATCAAAAGTAATTTTATTTTATTTATGAAATGACCATCTGCCTATGTACAATAGGGCAACAGCTATACTCTATTCTTCCACATAGAAACTGGTTCCTCAAATTTACAACGAATATTTTTAACCTCTCCACAGCTTATAATATCTTAAAATTTGTAATAACTTTTTAATGACAATAGTAATTAAAGTTTTAATTTACCTCCATTAAAACTGCATTTGAAATTATTCAACTTTTTAAAAATAAAATATTATCTTTAATTCACATTTTAATTAGCTGTAACAGTCATTTCATAAATAAAATAAAATTATTTATGATTTAATTGATAATATTTTTAGGTCATTAACTTTATTTAAAAATTGTTATAATTTTTAAAACAATTTAAAAAAAAAGTTAGTCAAGGCTAGGATCAAATCTAGACCTCCCGCGTTGCAAACGAATTCGCTACAGAATCAGCCAATTTGCTGCACTGCCAGTGTAAAATCAACCAGTATATGAGCTGTGATTAAAACTTTAGAGCCCTTTTTCTCAGAATCTTCTGGCTAGTGCGCTTTACAATTCTTCTGGGTGGACACCCTTGAGGTATACTACTAACCTGCAAAGTCTCATCCCAAACTGAATTTCCAAGACCATAAAGTCCCTTTGTTAGCTAATCTTGCAGACATTGAAAAAATTTTCCAGAATGCATGAAAACCATATGTTTTAAATATAAAACTGAAACATGTTTACTTTGTTTTTAATCAATCACTTGTTACATTGCAGCTTACTTACAGGATTGGTTATTAGATATACACAAAAAATTGCTATCAGAAGTGAAACAGAAAAAATTTGAATATCTGCTAAACTGCATATAATAAGTGTTATGTTTTCTCTAGAAGATCAGTATATAAAACATAGTAACTGACATGAGGTATTATTCTCATTCTAATTTTCTGTACAGTATATGTCAATATGTGCTACATGACACCATGGATTATCCACATAAAATCACATTAATAAAACTTAAAACATTACAATAAGATTTACTTTTAATATTACAAACTATTCTGAAATAATATTTCTTATTTTATGATGATATTTTGAATTAATATAAACTAATATATGAATCACTACTGTATAGGCCTAATCTTTCATAATTTAACTTTATCTATATTTACCATAACTCCAGTACATGATAACTTCACTACTTTGTGACATTTCTTATGCACCATTAATTTACAATTGATACACTTGAATCCTTGACGACCTAGTCCCCAGATTCTGTCATGACAATAAGCACAAAATGCTCTCTGAAAAATTAACTCATAATGTTAACATGATAATTTGTATAATTATCAAATAGTATAAAAGCATAATTTAAAATAAAGTTCATATATTTATAATTGCACAAAATCAAATACTGTTTTACATTAATTTTATATTAATATATTGATTAATACCATTAACACAATAAGAGAAAAATATTTATTTTTAAGTATCACAAATGAATTGAAATAAGAATAAAAAACAAAGTTCTGGAAACTAATATTAAAAGTATCTTCAAGAATACTTTTGAAACAAAAATTATTGAATTTGATATGATTTAATTACAAAAATGAAATAACTTGAGATTAAATCCAAAAACTCAGAAAGTAATGTATTCCAACAGTAACAGAGATTTAGAGTAAAGCATTACATCATTCTCTAAACTTGATTCATTCATATACAATAGTTATACAGTAGAACCTCGATTATCCGCCCCCCGATCAACCGACCCCTCCATTAATCGACCGTCCTAGTCGGCAAATTTCAAATGTCCGCTAGTGATGTGGCGCTACAATATTTGGCTATATCTTGGCTACTTTAATATTATTTTTACGTGTTTTAGCTGGCAACACTCATTCGACCATGAAAGGGAGCCAGTATTTAAACGAAGCTTAATTTTCTAATTTTTAACGATACAATAGCGACGATTATTATTTTAAAAAATTTTTGTTAGGCTTAACATCGATGAAAATTCAACGCAAAATAGGTTAATAGCGATATACTAATATACTAATTACATGGGATATAATAATATACTACACTAATAATGGATTTTTTCATACTTTTCGGTTATCCGACTTTTCAATTATCCGACCAACCCCAGTCCCCAATTAGGGCGGATAATCGAGGTTCTACTGTAATAATGTACAGGTAACCCCCATATAACACGGGAGTTACGTTCCAGAAAATTTCCGTGTTATGCAAATCCATGTTATACGAAACAAAGAACTAATGAGAAAAGGGGGGTTAGGTTCCAAAAATTAAAAAACATGTTGTTAAATCCTTACTTAAATCAGATTTATTATTCATTTTTTTCATAGGTAAAATACTTATTTATTATTTAAGTAAATATTTTACCAGAGGATTATTCATTTTATATGATGATCTCAGCATAAGCATCATCAACTGGTAACAGTTTGTGGGTGCTTTCGTTAATAGCGGTTGCTCTGCAACGGGAGTGCACTGCTGTTTGTAGGCATTTAGAAACAATGGTGAAAGAAAGATGGTGGCGTCCACACTATCGATAGTATTGTGTGGAGGAATCTATAATTCTAAAATAAGCTTTTAGAGGCAAAAGAACGGTCTCAAATATATAATTTAACCATTAAATAAATTATTTGTTGAAAGAGCATTCAAAGTAGCCACGAAAACAATTAGAATGCTCGTGCGGAGTTACGTAGAGGTATAAAAGAACGCACCCTTTATTACATTTCATGTTGTACGAGGGTTTTACCCAATTCTCGAAAAATGTTAGAGTAAATCCGTGCTATAGAAGTGCCGTGTTATATGGGGGTTACCTGTACATATGAAGACTGTTCTGAAAGTAATGCCTGTTTGACATGTTTTCTGAAACTATTGTGAGAAAAGGATCATGTTAGAAGTAAACACTGTCACTTTTTTCCATCAACATCAGACACCCACATATTTGGAATATGTGGACTATGGAATATATTCGTATGTGAAGATGAAGTAATTGTATCTTCACATGGGAATTCACCTGCATGACTTGAAATCATACAGGTAAATGAGTGATTAATGAACTGGCAATTAAGTGACTGGATGAGCCAAAGTTAATAGCTCAGAGTTTGGAAGTCCTGTGGAGTTCAGATATCTTTTCAAGATGTGAGCAAGCAGCGTTTGGGATCGTTATCAGTATGTAGATTGAGTTTGGGAGGCTTCAATAATTAAATTAACAGAGAACAACAAGGAATTGCCTGGAGGGGATGTTGAAAAATAAACAAACTTGATTGATCAACCTAGCTATCATCACATCATTAACTAGGGCCAACAATAATAACTGTAAGCAAATCTCTATGACTGATTACATAGCAACCACATGTGTAAAACAATATGAGCTTTAATAAATGAAATTTTTCTTGTTAGCTTGTAGGGTGGAGTCCTTTCCATCCAGATCCACATCTGGCACAACACCTTTCAAAAAGGTGCAACAAGAAAATTAACATGAAGCTTGTTAACCAGCTTGTGATGTTTGGACTAAAGGTTGCTGGAAATAGTCATGAGATAACCAAAGTACAGATATGACAATGGGAATATCACTCTTTTAACCAAATATGATGTATTTGCATCACCAGACAGAATAACTCTACCTTCTCAACTGACATAAATTTCTTTAATTCTATATTTTGCTGAATCATGAATGTAAAGTTGAAGTAAAGAGCTGTCATCAAATTCCTGACCAATGAAGGATAAACTGCCTTCAAAGTATCCAGAAAAATCTCAAAAGTGTGTATGGTGAGGCAATGAGTAATATGAATAATAAGCAGAGATGGGAAAAAGTTTAAAGAAGGCTAAACCAATGTTGAAGACAGACTGCATAGTGGAAGACCATCAATAGCAGTCATTAATGAAAACCAAAATAAGGTGGATGACATAATTCACACAGACTGGCATACTGCTAATGAGAGATTTCTGAAGAACTAAGTAATAGTCACAGTACTGTACAGCAAATTATTCAACCTGAGGTACAAGAAAATGTATAACATGCGGGTCCCTCAACAACTAACATCTAATTTGAAAAAGATGAAACTGCATATGTATTCAAAACTCAATAAATAGTACATTCAAGAAACTTGAAAAGCCAACTATAAAAAAGACCACAGAAACAGCTGATAGATATCCAGTAACATGACAATAATGCACAATCTCCACACTTCTTTTGCAACATCACAATGTCTTACAGAAATAGAATGATCAGAATAATTTAATATTGAGGCTGTAAAGGAGTGCTACATTCTCCAACTTCCACTTGTTTGGTCAAATAAAGCAAGCCTTCAGGGCTAGCACCTTGATGCTACAGGTGAGTCCAAGATACTATCCAGTGCTAGGTAAGAGCTTATTTCAAAGGGCCTAAAAAGATTTTTTCAAAGTGGCTTTGACAAGTGGGTTAAAGTGGTGCAAATGCACTGCCACTAATGGAGACTATTTTTAATAGTACAGGTTGAACTTCCTTAACTAGTGACCTTGGGATCTAGCTATTGCTGGACTACAGAAAAAGAAATGTTATAAAATTGATCTTTAAAGAAACTGCCTATGTAATCATATGCTCATTTCATAAACATATTGCACTATTATCAAAGGTAAAAACAATCTCCAGAAAATAATAAACTATTAATTAATTTAATGCTTCCAAACAAGATTTTTTTTATTGTTTCATGTAATAAAATGTCCAAAATCAAAAATACTTTTTAGTTCCTGTAACTCAGAATACATAAGAAATCAGCAGGGTCAGCAGTCTTCAAAGTATGCAGGGTCATTAGGGTCTCTATGCTCATCAGGTTCGTGTACATCAGAAGCAGAGAAGGTACAGCAAAGTAGATTTTTCTATGCTGGAATGAGTCTTTGAATGAGTTATTATTGACTTTCTTCAACATTATTGCAATGTAGCTTGCATCTGGTACTTGGCTTTCCTTTAAGTAATTTTCTTTGAATCAAATAAACACACAAGCATACTTACAAACTAGTGGTGGAAAATCCAAAACATGCTAGCTAGACCATGGAAGTTGCTGGACAGAATGCCAGATTAAATAGATTCAACTTGTATATGTTATAGACAAGAATTACTTTACACATATATGTAATTGCACATGCTTCATGTTGTTTATTTAAAAGAATTATAATCTGACAGGCATCACTTCCATTACAACCTACATATTATATATAGGTAAGCAGCAATTTCAGTGTACCTATAGCGAATACAGTGAAAAATGTTTTAAAAAATAAATTTTGTTAATTTAGTAGTCTGATTAACTAAATATTAATCTGCTGTTCCTGTATTCATCTTGAATTCCTTATATGTTAAAATAAAAAAAAGTCCCATAACTTATTAAATACTTATAAAATTGATTATGGCTGAAAAAAAAAAAAAAAAGAAGAAGAAGACTATAGTGACTATAGTTTCAAATAAAACATAAAACTTAATCAATTTGCATGTGATATTACCTTTACATAAAAATAAAAATTATATAAGATAATTTCAACCAAAAAATTAATATATATATATATTGATAGTTGATATATATATATCAACTATCAATCTCAAAGGTTGGATTTATTCATGTATTCTCTTAAGTATATTGCTTAGTTATCCAACAGCTATCAGCAATGATATAATATCAAGTTTTTCCTAATAAATTTTCACAAAGATTTACTAAGGGTGTTTATCTGTATTACAAAATATGTTTATATTATTATTGTAAATACAAATTTATACTACTGTAGTTAAATTTTAATGTTTGCATTAAATTTAATATTTCATCTTTGATTTGACTGTTATCTTATTTGTTATAATAGCACAGGGGTTGGCAACCTTTCAGTGGTATTGTACTGAACATAAGTTATAGTGTTATTCCTAGTGCTGACATGATTCTACCAAGTTTATTATATATGTTATCAAAATTAGTCTGGTTATAACAGACTTCAAAAATGTATAATTTTGAAGTTAATTGTTAATTAACTTCAAAATTATACATTTAAGTATCAATTAAGTTGTTAATTGAATTATGTTCTTACACATGAAGCGCTTGCATAACACGCAGATATTGACACAAAGCATAAATGTATGTGCCATAATATATACAAACAAGAGATTCGTTTTTGAACTATGGCCTTCACTGAACTATGACTTTCATTTACATGTGTAATTAATAATTAAAATATAATTTTAACTACATTTCTATTCAATCAAAGTGCCATTAAATATTGTCTGTGTGCCACATTTGGTACATGTGCTATAGATTGCCAACCCCTGTAGTAGCATATATTTGTGAATGAAAATAGTTTCATTCACAAAAACACCAAACTCTCAATTATCCATGTGCAGATTATCTGAATTGTAAAAATATTTTGTCCAGCTTGTCCATGGACAGCATAACAAATGGGAAGTTGTATACACATCATCAGTGTAAAAGCAGCAAGCTGTTCCAAAGCTGATATGTCTTTCCAAGAAATGGTCTAAAACCTCCACAAAGTTGACTCAATTTATAAATGAAACTTCAGAAACTTATTGATAGAACACACATTAAAAAAATCATACCTGCACACTATAAACAGTTGAAAAAAATACCCTACTAGCCCTAAAATTAAAATACAGTAATTTGGAAAAAATATAGGAATTATACATAGATATGTAAAATTTAAATTTGTACACAACATTAGTGAAAATATAAATAATCTACTTTTTATATTTATTGACTACATATACATTTCTGCTTATGAAACTTGGGACTCACATTTGCATTGCATTATAACTGCATTGAACTGTACATAAACTAAACTGTAGTTTTCATTTCAAACTTCTGAATAGTTTTTTTTTATAGTTTAGAGGGTTATTTTCAATTACTAATGTTTTCTGGTTTTCCAGGAACTAAATAGCACAGATAATTGGGAGTTTGGTATATTTTCTATTGTATCAAAAATAGGGTCCAAAACACCTGTTCAAAATTAGAAAAAATGGTTTTGAAAACTATTTCTTTCTTATTCTCATTGTTCATTGTGAAGTTATTTTAGCTTGTAAATTTAATAATATTCCTCTCTCTTATGCTTCATATAGTAGATAATTCTAAATTTTAAAACTTTTTAGAATTCAAATTAATGAGATGTTAATAATACTGATATTCAATTTGAAAAAGACACTGACAACAGGAATGCTACATATAATATATTAAAAGTACTTTTGTAAACTAAAAATTTTTTGCTATAAATTCTTCAATTCAAACTCATTCTTGAAAGAAAAATAGTAAAATAAAATATGGAAGACTGAGACTGCTAAGGAAAGTACAAATTTAAGAACTTTTAAAAACAAGTTTCTAAATCTGTACTTTCCTTAGTATGATGATCCAAAACAACCTTGGATCTTCTTGAATAAAAAATATATGAATAAATCACTCAACTGTTTAATATATAAAAATATTATAAAACTGTGAATATTCATGTGTTTATATATAGCTGATTAGAAAAATGGATTAAAAAAAAATAATAATGATGATGATGATGTAAATTAAAAGTTAATATCAACAAATAAAATATATTTTATTTAATAATTTACCCTATTAAATCTTTTAGCTTGAAATATGTGACCATTTATACGATACAATTTACGCCATCTTCGAGCACCCCTACGATAAATACTTTCTGAAATTTTCAATATTTAATTATCTCTAAAATCTGAATAAATTACATTTATTAAATATTTAAAATATAAATTATTACATACTATCTTCTCCTGGACAAGGTAATCCTGGTGCTGGAGGAATACTAGGAAATACTATTTAAAAAGAGAACCAAAATATTATATGACACAATGCAACTAATTATAGTTCATGCATAATACAGTAGAGCATAATTTATCTGAATGAATTTGGGACTGGGGTTGTTTGGATAACTTATTTTTTTGGATAATCGATTATGTACGAGAAATATATTAACCTATCCCACATTGAAATTTTTATCCATTGCTTGTTGCTACGTGTTGAATTTTCACCGATGTTAAGCTGAATGTAAATTTTTTAAAATAATAATCGTGGCTATTGTATCATTAAAAATTATTTCTTTATTTTGTACTAACAAAATAAATATATTGAAAAAAAAACAAAAAAATTATATTTTGGAAGTTAATCTGGTATCAAAAACATTCGATTCAGCATGACACAGTCCGACTGGAATGCTTTCGGTTGATCGGCTTTTGGATAAACGATGCTCTACTGTATTAATAAAAAGTTTAAAGACCACAAGCCAATTTAAACTCGTGGATGAAATATCAAGTCAAAATGTATTATGATTATAAGAACAGAAATTTCAATATACAGTAGAGCATTGATTATCCAACTCAATTGGGGACGGGGGTTGGTCGGACAACTGAAAATATGGATAATCGAAAAAATATGAAAAAATATATTATTAGTATATCCTGTGTAATTAGTATATTAGTATATCGCTATTAACCTACTTCGCATTGAATTTTCATGGATGTTAAGCCTAACAAAAATTTTTTAAAATAATAATCGTAGCTATTGTATTGTTAAAAATTAGAAAATTAAGCCACGTTTAAATACTGGCTAAAACACGTAAAAATAATATTAAAGTAGCCAAGACATAGCCAAATATTGTAGCACCACATCACTAGCGAACATTTAAATTTGCCAACTAGAACGGTCGGTTAACCGACCGTTCTAGTTGGCAAATTCGTTGATCGGGGGTCGGATAATCGATGCTCTACTGTATTATATATATTGGTAATGAGTTAGTTTGAATAATTTTCCTAATTATTTGATTAATATTTAAATAATTGAATGAATCACTCAAATCTGTAAAATTCTTTCTTTCAGCTAAATTCTGGCAATTTCTCAGACATTTAACATTAAAGTATTGTAATTGCTTTATATTTGCCATATTAAGCATACAAATATGAAAATTCTCAAACTATTTTTAAAATTGCTTTATTAATAAATATAATATTTATTAAATTATTTTTAATTGTATTTAAACAGGCATCCTAATTTATAAAGTTATTCAACAGTAAGTGTTTTATTTTGAATAAGTATACTTAAAAACTGAAATTATCATTAATTATCCACAATGAAAACAAATCAACACACTATGTATAACTCATTTATTAGTCAATGACTTTTACTACACAAGAGAGAAAACTGCCTGATTGGGTCTATTGCAGTGTTGAAACACTGCAATATTTTGTCCAATTGGACAAAATCATTTTCATGCAAGTAAAGAAAATCTTGAACTTTTTTGGACAAATTTACCATTATTTTAAAATTAAAACATGCCAAAAAGAAACAAATGAATCATTTATATTGATTTCAATAATCAAGTTATAGATTATTTTTCATTCAAATGAACTTATCACTAATACAGTATACTGTATATAGAAAAGAATTTATATTTTGACAAAACATTATAAACATCTCTGAACATATATGTCTGTATCTTTTCTTGATAAGTTATAAAATATTTATTTTAAACATAGGGAGTCTAATTTTTGAATGAAATATATTACTAAAGATTCTCCAATAGTAAAATATGCATGTTATATAAGAAATTTCATTCCTAGAATTTTAGAAAAAAATTATAAAAAACTATTATTAAGTTATGATAGTTATACCATTTTACTGTGAATACATTACAATACATAATAGATATTAGATATAATGCATATAAAATGTTAAAGCCATAAATTAAATAGGAAAGAGATAATAAAAATTTTTACAGATTGATGTTACTGAAACCAAAACTCACAGAAAACATCACTGCAACATAGCTCAAAATTATTTGATTTGTCAATTGAAAATGTATGAAAGTATAAATTTGTGTATGAAAAATAACTTAGGGCTAAGCACAAACTAGTCAATATCAAAGCAAACTGGTTGGATGTGTAAGGAACCAAGTCCGAACATTATTTTTATTTACTTTTATTTTGCTTATTATTCTATTTTTGTTTGGGGCTTATGTTTTGTTAGGACGAAGGTTTCCTCACCATTCACCTTAGTAACTTAAAAATAGAAGAAAACCCAACTCACCGACGAAAGAAAAGCGCCGTAGAAAAACTCGCGCACACTTGCACTTCCCGAGCGGAAAAAAGTAAGTCCGCACCGAGAAAAAGGGGGGAGACCCCACAAGCACGAATTAGGGACTCGCTAAACCTTAAAGAATAAAAAAAAGTCCCAAAAATTGTAAAAAAGAATAATGTAAAAGGTTAGAGAGTATTGTCATAAAATAGGCTGCCAGACAAACGAAAAAAAAAGTTTATTGTTAGCGTTAAGTATGTAAATGAGGAGAGTGATCTCATTCAGAATTGTGACGTCACCTCACACTATAAATCCCGAGTCTCAAGTGAAGATGAACGAGGTGAACTCCTGATAGCAACGAGCTTTGGTGAGCTTCGTAGCAGTGAACGAGAGAGGTGTCCGATAGGATCAAATAGTTTCAAGCCGATTTTGAAGTTATTCGATTTATGGATCGACGATTATAGAAAGTCTTGAGAGTTTGAGGAAATAGGTTCCTAGTATATTGAGGTGATGATTAGGATCTTTAATTTATAAGAAATATTGTTTATAAGTTAAGTCTTTGATTTTTGTCAAATTCTAAAGGGGAATGGAATTAAGTTAGAAATAGATTGATTTGAGTTTGTCGGGTTGATTCTTGTTGAATTTCATTGAATAAATTATTGTTTGATTTTTACTAAATACTGTATATAGTTTATTACTAGAAGTTTAATTAAATATTTGATTTTTGTTATTGACAAACTTTGTCCTTATTTAATTCGGTGCACGCTTAAAGTCCAGACCTGGCACACTAACGCGAATCTGCGTAAAGTACCCGTTAGGGAACGGCTATTTCCGGCACGCAGTAGTGTCGATAATTGTTGGAAAAGTCGGAAAAATAATATAGTACTTTACAGATGTGATGTGATCATTGTAGGTTTGACTGTCAACCACACAGTCATTGATTCAATGTACATCAAATCCTTCAACAATTCTTGGATTCTAACACGTTGGATTTTTTGTATTATGATCATGAGACACAATGAAATATTTATGCCTCTTGAAATTGCAGCTTATAGCTGAAAGAAGTTTTTTTTTTTCTGACTAATTATTATAACTACAAAATCATCATTTTATCATAATAAAATAAATATATATATTAATTAATTCATTGCCAATAAAATACACATAAGAGGTTGTAGTATAAAGATACAAGCAGCACATCATGATTGCCAATTTTCATTATTTTATAAACAAACTCTTCAGAGTGACGGTTTGTAGAGGGTTAGAGAAAATGTTCATTGGTTCTTAAAAACTTGTCATGACCATGACATTGCAAGATCGTTAAATAAAAATAGTCATGTGACTAAACAAATCTCATCACTTGGAGCAAATTGCATATAAAAGAACAAAGTGTCTGTATGTCAAGGACAATCTACATTATTATAAACTTTGTAATATTTAAGTCTGATTTAAAATTCCAATAAATTTAAATCGACCAAATAAATTATTTATGAAATACTAGCAGACCCGCCACGCGTTGTTGTGGCTCAAAATATATCTATTATAAATGTATAACACTTCCCCCATTGGTGGGTGGAAATTTTTTGAAAAATCCCTTCTTAGTGTACATTCTCTTGATGTACCCTATTAAAACGCATTCAAAAACGCAAAAAACCGCATCTAAAATAGTATAATAGAAGCCAAGTTCTTCACAGTAAGCCTTAATCCTGTCCATCTCCCCCAGTGGGGGGAATTTTGACATGTATATTATATAAAAACACATTCATATTCGAATGCAGCGTTGTGTCAAAATTTCAAAGGAATCGGTAGGAGCAAACGAACATTACATTTTTATTTATATAGATAGACTAGCTGTTACCCGCGACTTCGCCCGCGGAAGTTTTGCAAGCAAACCCCATTTACATTCAGTATTTCAACAACCATAGTAATTGTTATATAGCATCTACCGCCGAGAATGATGAGAATTGCTGAGATTCAAACAAACTATTTTCAATTTGATCAATTTTCTGGAATGTTTGCAATCGTTCTATAATCGAACCAATGTGCAATAACAAATTCAAATTTAAAAAGGTTCAAACATTTGGTTAAAAAATCAAAATATATAAAAATATTTATAACAATGTCTGAAATGTTATTAATTTAATACACTTAAGTACTTAATGAAGACTAAATGTAACAAAAAATTGCATGTAAAATAGTACAGTGGAAGCCGTTCTTCCGGTTAAGCCTTAATGTTCTCCCTCTCCCCCTGTTGGGGAATTTCGAAAAATCCCTTCTTAGTGTGCATTCCCTACTAAAACGCAGTTAAAAACAAAAAATTGCATTTAAAATAGTACAGTAGAAGCCATTCTTCCGGTTAAGCCTTAATACTCTTTCTCTCCCCCCCGCAGGGAAATTTCGAAAAATCCCTTCTTAGTGTGCGTTTCCATGACGTACCCTAACTGTCTACCAAATTTAACCTTTTTAGGTTAAGTGGTTTGCTCTGGGCGATGATGAATTAGTCAGTCAGTCAGTGAGTCAGTCAGTCAGGACAAGCAATTTTATATATTTAGATAGAAGATGATCTGCTTTAGTTCATCCTCACAGAAAAGCAAACTTAGGTCATCATACCCGTAGCACCATCTATTGCACATAAAAGCCTTAACCCTAGATGATATCTTTTAATTTATATGAATGTTTAATGGAATAATATACAGCCTATGTCCACCCTGAAGTTCCATTCTAAATATTGGTGAAAGAATTTTTGAAATCGGATGAGTAATTTCGAAGATTACCCGCTACATACGAACTTACTTACAAACATTACCTCTTTATAATATTAGTATAGATAATATAAATTCTTGTTTTAATATTTCATTTACTTCATTCTTACATTTATTTAAAATTACTAGTTTAAAACAACATAAAGTTGATATGAATCATGAAATAGCTTTCATCTATCTTACAGAACACTAAATGCTGTTTAATTAATTTATTGAATTAATTAAAATGTTTTGATGTTACTGAAATATGTTAACATCTTAGTCACCATATTTTATAACAAATCAGTCTTTTCTTTCTACAATTCATTGATACTGTAATTAACTTAAATACACATTAAAGCGAAATCTTACTGATCAAAGTTCATTTAAAGTTAGTCTACAATTTAATTTGTTTACATAAGTTATCCAAGAAGATAAGCTAAAAGACTTCTTAAATTATGATATTGCAAATTTATTATGAATGAAATAATAATAAATTAATTTTAGCAACATCATATAAAACATTTACGAATGAAATCTTTGAGGGAAAAAATTAGCCAAATTATTAAGTTAAAATCAATAACTTACCATGAATTGTGATTTCAGAATCTTTGTTAACTTCATATAAACGAATAGCTTCATCAAGTTCTGACTGAGATGAAATTACACAAGGATCACCTAATAATAAGTTTTATAAAAATTTTAAATATTCAATGATTTATATAATTTATATATCCAGAACATGCTAAAATGAAATTATTTCCAATTTGTTAAGGTACATGGATATGAATTACATATATATTTTAAACATTATTTTGAAGGTTATTTAATTTAAATTATCCCTATTGCATTTATTTTACTATTTATTTCATTGAAAATAATTAGAAACAAAAATATGTCAAATTTCACTCTTGCCTTCAATTTTGACTATTGAACTTACTGCTGCCCAATGTAAAACATTTCTGCAAATAAGTTCAAGTTGACATTCTTTCATTGATTTCCAATTATTTTTAAATTTTATGATATTATCAAAAATATTATTTTAGATTAAATTTTGGTTAGGAAGACCCTTGTCATTTGTTTTGAATATAATGGCACATACACAAAAAGCTCTTATAGGTAGGCAAGAAAGAAACAAAATGTTCAATTAAATGTTATTGACTAATTCATGTGCAGAAATGAATATCTAAGTATGAAGGCATTTACATAAAAAAATGCTGTATAGTGAGAAAAACATCTATATTAATAAATTTTATGTAAGCTCCTTTATTTCTATTTCTTTGCAATTAACAATATTTTATTAGTTACAATTAGTTATTTTACTATCACCTTCAACATAAAATCAATTTCTTATCCAAATAAACTGAAGAATAGATAATAAACTTTTATTTGAAAAAATAAAATCAGAAATTAAAATTTAAATGTTTTTCTCTGCTTAAGGATATACAAGGGCTGTTCAAAAAGTATCAAACCTTTGATCAGCAAAAATACATTTATTGATTTTGAGAAACAAAACCCTAATCTCATTCAAAGTAGTCTCCTTGGTAATGTATACACTTCTCCTAGTGCTCCCGCCATTGCTGGAAACACTGTTGGAACGCATCTTTTGGAATGGTCATCAGCTGGTCCATTGCATTCTGTATGATGATGATGTTTTCTCTTGGCTCAAATTGAGTTCCTTTTAGCAGCATTTTCAGCTTGGGAAATAGCCAAAAGTCACATGGAGCCATGTTGAGAGAGTACGAAGTGTGACAAACCACAGGAATGTTGTGTTTGAAGACAAAAGTCTGAATCAGCAGAAACGAATTTCACGGACACTCTCTTCTTACCCAAATCCTCGGTCAAAATTGAATGTACCGATCCAATGCTTACTCCTGTCTCGTTCGCAAGTTCTCTGACTGTGATACAATGGTCCACCATGACCAAAATCTGCACTAGCTCAATGACAATCTCATTTCGGCTTGAGGGTCTGCCTGAACATGGTTTGCTGTCCACTGATGTGCGGCCATCTTTGAAGTGGTTGTACCATTCCTTTATCTGTGTGTTGCTCATGGCATCATCCCCGAAAGCCTGTTGAATCTTGTGAATGGTTTCCGCTTGGGTATTGCCAAACTTTTGGCAAAATTTGATGCAATATTGATGCTCATGTTGTTCAGTCATTTTCCAACTTACTGGAATCTGACGAGCACTCACTACATGTCCTCACTCATAGGCCAATTGCCAGCTACTAACACTTCCTGCAGGCGGGAAAAAATTCAGGACTGTGCATAAATGTCCCTCCACATCTCCACCAAAAGAGGCTTCCCGTGCATCATTGGTTTACGCAGGAAAAATAAAGGTCCGATACTTTTTGAACACCCCTTGTAAACCTATATTCAGAAATTAATTTTACATTTTTTTGAATTATTATTTTTAATTCAGTAAATTTTAAACTGATACAATTATTATTCTAGAACTTTTCTAAACATGTTAAACCTGATTTATTCACTATATAGAATAAAACACAAACAAACATTAATCTTTTTAACAAAAAGACAGTCAAACTTCCATATTATGAAATTCTATATAATGAATTTCTCCGTATAACAAATTTTTGTATCATGTACTGTTTTTTCAGCCAAAAACATATGTAAAATTGTGTCTAAATAATGAAGTTAAATTTTTATATAATAAAATTTTTTTTAATTTGTAAGGATCATTGATCATTAAAAGTCAATTAGTCCCTCTGGTTTGAGTTCAAATTTAGATTCAATTTCAGGTATCAATCTGTAAATCCTTTGTTAAACTGCAGCCCAGTATAAGAAATACTGGTCATTAGCTTTTAAAACCATCATTGCCCTCATATACTTACTGGTTGTAAAGAAGAGAGAGAGAGAGATTAGGTCCAAATGTTGGCATTGACAGATAAACAATTTACAATTAACAAATGTCGAAAACATTAGAAAGGCGATAATTTTGACAACTGTGGGACTAATTTTTGAGTTTAGAAAGATTTTATTTTATTTAATAAGTCATCCAATTGGAATTTGAAGAACTGTTAATATGGGGCTGTCCATAAATGATATACAGGTAACCCCTGTATAATACGGCACTTCTATAGCACAGATTCGCTCTAACACGGTTCGAGAATTGGTACCATCCCCCGTATAACACGGTACTTTTATAGCACGGATTCACTCTAACACGGTTCGAGAATTGGTACCATCCCCCGTATAACACGGTACTTTTACAGCACGGATTAACTCTGACATGGTTCAAGAATTGGGTAAAACCCTCGTACAACATGAAATGTAATAAATTTTTACATACTTAAGTAATAATAGTTCACAAAAATAATTTTTGTGAACTATTATTACTTAAGTATGTAAATTTTTTCTTCTTGCCTTCTGTCGATACACGTGGTCCTTCTCGAAACTTGTTTCAATGTTGCCAGATTGCGACGCTTCTGCTTCTGATGTTGCCGAATGTTTTTCCATTATTCCATACTTGCTTTATTCTTCATAAGTGCTTAGCACCATATAAGGAAATTTATAAAGACCTTTTAACTAGAAGCAAGCAATCTAAAATTACATACATTTTGCAAAAGGTAAAGCATGGATCTGAAGATAATGCAGAAAAATGCTCAGAGGATAAGGATAACTTGCCAAAAAGAAAATGCTCTCGGTTAATTAATAGTGTTTTTAGTGATGACGAAGAAAATATTGTTTAATTTATATTAACATGTATCACTTAAAAAAATTTTAATGAAGATATTTATCTTAATTACGAAAATATACTAGCATGCTTTTTAATTTTTGGAACCTAACCCTCCTTTTCGTATTAGTTCTTTGTTTCATATAACACGGATTCGCATAACACGGCAATTTTTTGGAACATAACTACAATGTTATACGGGGGTTACCTGTACTCACTGGATGGAAGGGAGGGGGTTATGAGAAGTCAGACAAGAGAGAATGAAGAGATTGAATTTCAATGGACATCTATTTTATTTCATTAAATTTTACATTATTTAAACATTTTATTATTCATAAACTGATAATGATTTTGAAAGGGATGAGTTTTGTTGGATGTCCAAAGAGAGGCGGAGGTTACAGAAACTTGGACAAATTGAGACAATGGTAAAAGGGGAGTAAAAATCTCAAGAAAAATTTGAACATAATTTATGGGCATTACCTATAGTATTTAAGCATTACTAAAAACTTAGTGTGTTGTGGGAAGAAAATTATATTATAGAAAATATAGAAAATTTATAGAGAAGTTATAGAAAAGTTTGGAATTCCAGTGAGTAGTTTAATCAACCATAACAACAAATTGTGAATCAATTTTGAAATTAGCCAACGATGTGAGACCTACAGGAAAACATGCTGGAATCTGCATTTATGTCAATGTAGATCAGTGTTTCTCAACCTCTAATGAATCATCGCCCCCTTCAATAAAACCGTTACGTAGTATTGCCCCCTTTACTTCAAAATTCCAATGTCGAGGGCCAAGACTAACGCCAAATTCGTACTGCATTGAATAGACTAGTGACTAGTATAATAACTATATGCTTACAGGAAATATTAAATAAAAATAAACAAACACTTTCTCTATTCCAGCACACTTTTAATGCGAATTTTGAACTGATGATGATAGATTAAAACAATCGAAAACATTTTTCAACGCATTAAAAGTGTGCTGGAATAGAGAAAGGTGTTTGTTTATTTTTTGACTAGTATAATGTTATTAGTTTAATTATTGTATGATATAATGAATAAAATATCTAATTATTCTTAATATAATGTTTTACTATATCGCCCAGAAAATTGTTTTTCGCCCCCAAAATATAAATTGTTACTAATCGCCCC